ACGTAGTGATCAATTTCTGTTGGGAATAATCTGTTTTCTTCTTGAATTTCGGAAATTGGATTGTTCTAAGTGCTACTATAATTTTTTACATCAATTGAATAATTCAATTTTTTTAATTTTTCTGGTTAGTCCGTCAATGGCAATCAACGAAAAACGATGCGCTGCCGGGTTTCCCTCATATAGTGACCAATGTAGGATTAAATGAATGGTTCTATACGAGCGTGTACTGAATCGCTCAACACAAAATTTTACACACAAGTGTGACAATACTGCCAACTTGTAGCCAAAATTTCAGATACTTATTCCAACTTTTATGCGTGTTATGAAACGCGAAATTAACTCTCTGAGGGAAAAATTGAAAAAAACCAACTATCACGAAATCTTTGTATGAATGATGTAGCGAAGTGAAAAACTAGGATAAGTGCAAAGATGGAACTTTTTCAGGACCGTTAAAAAATTTGACCACGTTTGAGGGAACTTTCGATTCAAGCAATAGAAAAAAATTGCACTTATTCTAGTTTATCACTTCACTACAGGAGTATTCATATTTTGATTGATCTTGATGATAGGGCAGTAAGACGAGTATTTTGAAGAAAAAAAGCAACCGGACTAGTAGTTTGGGAGATATTGAGCAAAAACGTTTTTCACAAAATATTTAATATCTTCTAAACCACTTGTCCGATTTCGCCTACTCACAATCCCATCCTGTAACATCGTAAGAGCTACAATCTCACCAAATTTCAATATGCTATCTCCATTTTTTCGGGAGCTATCGTGCACAAAACAATTTTTTCATAAAAACGAAAATTGACGGTCACTACCCTATCCCTAGTTACATAGCAATAATGTGATTTGATTTGATAGATATTATCACAATGAATATTTTGACGTAAACAAAATTCAATTCAGTCATGTAGTTTTCGAGATATTGAGAAAAAAAGATTTTTGAGAAAGTGCTGTATCTCGGAAATTATTTGACTTATTGAGCTGAAATTGCGTTCGAAAGTGCTGCAAAGCAATGCCAATTATTTGACGAAATTTCAGATTTTTTAGCTTCCACTTTAATCCTTTTCCTGTGAAGATTAATAAAATTTTTTCGAAAAATTCGCACACATATCCGGACGTACATACACACATTTTCTAAAAACATTATGTCTTAACGTTTCATGACATTCTACATCATTTCTAGGCAAAATTGTAAGATCGTCAGAATCAACGATTAGAAAGCTTTGAGAAGCAAAACGATCAGAAAGCATTGAGAAGCAAAAAAGTGAAAAACTTGATATATCGAAACCGTTCGAACTCGCAACTCATATTTCTCATGCGAGCTATAGAACATTTTTTAATAAAATCAAGAGATCGTTTTTGAAGCCCCTCAACCCAGGGGGTGAGACTCAGGAGTCGATCGATTTGTGATGGTGTATCTCATATTATTCATCAACCAGATAAAATTCATATACCTGCGTACAGACTCCTGGACACGATACCTTCCAGATTTCGCTTATTTTATCAAGCATGCAGAGAGGACGAAGGTTTCTTCAACGTTTTAATCCCTTCTGCTTTCACTTGGCATGAATATCAGTTTCCTGAAGACACACATGGTGATTGTCTAGGAGTAATGCTGACAATGCGTTGATGGCTATTTTCAGGGCGACGTTGAGAATGCCATCCAGGCCAGGGGTATTGGTATTCTTCTCTCGCTCGCAGGTTTCCAGCGCTTATTTCCTCCCGTGTGTATGCGTGTGTGCGCAAATTTACACACATGCTATGCCAAAATGATATCTCGTATTCAATTTAAATTCGCTAACAAAGATTGCACATTTTCTAAACTATTTGTGATCTCTGTTTTGAGAAAATGGGCATTAGTTAAACATTTTTTTAACTAACAGTCCGTCCCCTATAACCCTAAATGGACGCCTAGCATTGCAATTATTCGCCCAATCGAGAAAAGGATAGAATTCATAGAGAATGAAACAATTTGAAAAGCGAAAAAATAACGTACGATAAAACCATTTGGAACTAGACTAACAAGAGATTCGATAGAAAGAACATATCAACGAATGCATTGACACAATGCTGTTGCTTCATTATGAAAGGGAAAACACTGGAGTGAAAGTTTTTTTCTGGAGCCACATACTTAAAACACGGTTGCAAATGAATCGGCAGGAAAATATCAATGTCTTTAATGTCAGTTCTTGTAACGGAGACGGGAAGTTTAGAAATGAAGAGTATTATATTCTCCCATTATTACTAACGAGTGAGCAAGACTGAATGAAATAAATTATTTCGACCGGTACATTCATTTTCTTCATTATTTCCTTCAATTTGTGCATTAATAGTGTTTATGTCATCAGGGGATAATAGTATATAGTGCACCAAGGACGGAAAGTCATGTTTTCCACGCCCGAGGTACACATGCTATTTTTCATCATATCTGCACGAAAAGTTCGATTTTCCTCCTTCGTTATTTCATTCCTCGGATTTCTATTATTTTGGACGATCCTTGGAATGACATAATCCACTTTCCTCCCTGCATTTACGAAGAAAATTGAACTATACCGTACAGCTATGGGGAAAAATATCGGGGGAAATCTGTGACAGGCGCAGTTTTATAAAAAACTCAGTATCTCGAGATCTATTGCAGATTAGTGAATGCCAATTGTACCAGCAATTCTTCGATACTCAGTCTATAACATATTTTTTTCGATTTTTTCGCGACCTGTCGGCATGATTTGTTGTTAACTTTTTAATTTGTTTATTGATTAATTCATAGTAAATTGCGTTTTCGGCCGAAGGCCCGGTAAACGGCGATTCTAACCTCGCTTCGCTCGGTTAGATCGCGGTTTACGGGCCTTCTGACGAAAAATTGCATTCATCACACGGTCTAAAAGTATTTTCTGACGAATGTGGCTTTGTAGGCCGAGGCGAAGGCGAGGCGAAGGCATGTGATGAAAATAACTATTTTTCGAGTCTTGGTTTTTTTCCTGAAACTTACACCTGTTTTGAATAAAAGTGTTTTCGTGAGAAGACCCGGTAAACCGCGATTCTAACCTCGTTTTGCTCGGTTTGATCGCAGTTTACGGGTCTTCTGACGAAAAATTGCATTCATCACACGGTCCAAAAGTATTTTCTGACGAATGTGGCTTTGTAGGCCGAGCCGAAGGCGAGTACTTTGTGGACCTTGTGATGAAAATAACTATCTTGCGCTTCTTTGATAAAATTCATATTTATCGAGTTATATATTTTTTTTAAATGACTCACCTGGCCCAACCCAAAATTTTAATTTCGCATAACTCGAAAAAAAATTTTTAATAACCCTCCAAGGCATGCATGGAATAAATCAAGACCATATTCAATTTATCTTGAAGTTTGAAAAAAAAAGTCTTTCGATTTGATTGAAGTAGTATGGAACGCCCCATGTGCACCTAATAAGGAAAACAGCACATCAAAACCCGTGTGTTTAGCGTGTGTTGGAATGTCCTATTTTTCTCCCTTGGTGCACAATCCACTATTTAACACGCCTACAAATGAAAGTGTATTTTGCTTTCTGATGAGCGGGAGAAAACAAAGTACGTTCCGCCCAAGGGCGGAAAGTTGCTCCCGAGGGAGGAAAGTACTGACTAGTACGAATTTTTCGTGCAGGTGTGTGAAGAATAGTATATTTCCCACCAAGGGAGGGAAAATAAAGGAGTCGTGCCCACGTGCAGAATTTTGGTAAGCACGTGGGTAGGGGTCCTTTATTTTACCGCCCGTGGTGAGAACGTTATTTATGTCATTAGGCCCGATAAACCGCGATTCTAACCTCGCTTTGCTCGGTTAGATCGCGGTTTTCGGGCCCAACGACATAAAATACAATATGTCATACGGCGCCTTCTACATACTCGCCTTCGGCTCGGATTATAAAGCCACATTCGCCAGATAATACTTTTATCGCCTAATGACATAATCTACTATTTTCCGTTTCGCGGGAGGAAAATCTGCCTTTCCGCCTACGCCGTGACGAAAAAGTATTATCTGACGAATGTGACTTTATAATCCGAGCCGAAGACGAGGTTTATAGTTACATGAGTCAGATAATACTATTATCGCCGTGTGACATACAATATTTTATGTCAGTGGGCCCGAACACCGCGAACAGGCCGAGCGAAGCGAGGAAAATTTGAACAGAAGTTCAAAATATATTTACTTTTTCCAATCAAATATGTAATAGAATCCGCGCAAAAACAAGTAGATTTTTTCAATAGAATTCCTGTAGAATTCCATTAGAATTAATTGTCTAGCGAATTCGCTAGGTTTTCTATTGAATTTTTTCATGCGTGTCAACGCACTCTTTGCATGTTTGACACAAAAAAAAATCTTTTTTTTAATATGTTTCAAAAACTGTTTTTTTTTTGCACAAACAAGACTTGTTTAAGAACCCTGTCGTTTTTTTCTCAGTGTATAGTGTGGTCTGTACCTCACTGCAAAAGATACTCGAATATCCTTAAAACATCTAAGGTTGACCGAGTAGTAGATAGCTCGGGGATAATACAGAAGACTGAATGAAGTTCCCTGAAATCTCATCACTTCCCTGCTTTAGTTCCGGCTCCTCCTTGTTGACTTGAAACTGTTGAGAGGCGGTGAATGTCATTTTTCATTGTTCAATTTTTAGTTTTCAGTTTTCAGTTTTTCTTAGTATACTATTTTTAATGGAAAGTTTTGTTCAACTGATATTATGAGTTTCTCCTCGAGTAAACTCCCATTGTTCGAACATGTCCAGTGATGGAACTAATTTACAACTTTGTTGTAAAACGAATGCTTAATGCTGTGTAATGAGACTTTTATTCTCTTTAAAACAGAAGGTAATGGGCACAAATTCACTGAGACCTTGTGCAATATTCCCATATTCCAGTTATTACTGAATCTTGTTCGTTCGATTACTGGTTATTGGCGACTCTTATTCGAGCGAACATTAGACAGATCATCCTATTTATATGCAATGGTTATTGTCCTGTTTTCAGCGCAGAGTAGCAAATTAGGAGGGTAGCGAGACTGACGATGAGAGCTGTGTCGAGATAAGTCATAGTTCGTCCTCAATGCGAAGGAGGAGATCAGCCGGGATGGGAGCTCCATATGGACATGATATTCAAGTGGGCAGATAAAACAAAATTGGGTGAAATCATCCCGACTTCGAGTAGATAAGCGAACGAGTACTGCAACGAGGAAGAATCTTTCTGACTATTGAAAAGTGATATAAATAATTCGCAAAAATGGGGAAGTGTTGCAGTAAGAGACAGGATCCTCAACCCCTAGGTAAGGACTAAGATTCATCTGAATATTTTCTAGAACAAAGATGTCACATGTCAGTGTATTATTATAGAATAATTTTTTTATATGCACTGAGAAAAACCAAGTTTTTTGAGAAGTACGTTTTTACTTATATCAAGAAACTTGTGGCTTGAAAATTTTCAAGAGCAAAATATCTTGCGCTAAGAAACAAAAACTTTCGTCAAGACATGTTGTACTTGTCCTAAAGACGAGAACAATTTCTTGATGACAAGAAAGCGATTTTTCAAACCAAGTAAAATTGAATGAATTCATTTAATAATTTAATCAGCTTCCGTTCTAAAATATTTTAATGCAAAAACTACTTGAATTGATTTGAGCACTCGTTTTATTGATATGAACCAATTGCCCCCATCTTTCGGATAAGTATAAAATTTCTTGGCGTAAGATTTTTTTTTCTTAGTGTGAGATATTGTGTGCTTGGTAATTTTCAAGCCATGAATTTCTTGATACAAGTAAAGACGTACTTCTCCAAAAAACTCCTGTCTTCTCAGTGTGGCGGTCACTTCTCTCAGGCTTTGCACGTGGAACCAGTTATTGAAATACACTGAGAAAAAAAATTTCTAAGAAATAGAAATTCTATGATTGATCCAAATCGTTCATCGATTGAATAGTCGCAAAAGAAAATGCTATTGTAAGAAACAAATATCGATTTAATTTTAATGTTTTCGATTGAAAAAGAATGAGATCAGTTGTCTAAACTTTTTTTTTGTTGCTATCTACTTTTCAGTACATACAAAGCAATGTCTGTATTATCAGATATCTTCTTCGAATAAAGCATATAATTATCCAATTTATCAGCGTCACGATATCCCGCAAAAGAATATCTGTTCGATTGAAAGCAGAATTCATAGATGCAATAAAATATTCATTTGGCCTATGAGGAACATATTGTTGGATACTCATTGATGCGAGACTTTCGCGAAGCGCAGTTTCTTGTTTACAACAAACGCAATTCTTCATCATTTGAACTGATTATTTTTCCATTGCAATTGTGAAAAAAAAATTATTTGCGCCAAATCNGAAATCGATTTTGTCGCAAAAACAAGTATTTTCTAAATTCGATAGAATAAACAAAATATACTATACTATAACAAAATCGATTTCATACAATCCAATTTTGGTTTAGTTCAAATCGATATTTGTGTCTTACAATAGCATTTTCTTTTGCGACTATTCAATCGATGAACGATTTGGATCAATCATAGAATTTCTATTTCTTAGAAATTTTTTTTCTCAGTGCAGTATGAATCAAATCAGATTTAGACGCATTTTTTCTCAGTTTAAGGCCGGGGTGGGTTATCTTTCGAACGTTATCTCGATTGTTTTTCCATCTTCGTAATGTAAAATATATCACAATTTACATTGGATTTCATGTCACGCGGGAGTCCCTAAAAATTATGATCGTGCAATCAAAAAAAAGTAGAAAAAAACTGAATATTTTCAAAGAGCGTCTTTAATAAAGATTAAGAAAAACGTCCAATAGAGAGGAAATAGTGAATGGATAATTTATCATGGTAACTAACGATCTGACAGTCGTTGACTACTGTGACAAACGACGACCTAACAGCTATTAGATACATCAAATTATTAATTTGCAATTTCTTCCCGATTGGGTTTATTTCCCAATATTATTTAAAAAATGCTCTTTGAAAATTTTCAGCTTTTTTTCAACGTTTTTTTAATTGTACAATCATCATTTTTGGAGACTCCAGGGCTATGTAAAACTGAATAGCAATTGGAGATCATTTTAAATTATCAAAATAAAGAAAACAATCAAGATCATGTTCGAAAGATAATCGACCCAGGCCTTAATGACTGTTTTAGCTTTTTGAAGAAAAAAATGTTGAGAAACTGAGTTTAACCCAGCGTCGTATGGGATAGTCAATAACTTCAATATTTTGGTTGTAAACAAGAACTAAAATGCGATTTTGTTTCCATTAAATGTAAAAAAGAGAAAATCTTTGACTCTCGATAAGAAACATTGCCTTTTATTTCTCAAGTAAATTTCCGTAAATTCCATTATTTATGGAAAAAAAATGTTTGGAAAAATATCAACATGTTGTGAGATGTAATTTGAATCATTCTGGATAGGTAATAATTTTTTTTTTATTTTCCCACACAATTTGATTGGAAAATTCGAAGCTACAAACATCTAAGTTTATAATGCGTTCGGATACAACTATTTTCCGACAGTTCCTTGGATTTGAATGAGTTTCCACTTCGTTCCAACGAATGTATAAGATATCTTATTATCTAAATTTTTGTCATTAATTGTGGACTTCAGCATTGGTGCACTGAAGGAAATATCGACATTATATCTCAAAACTAATTTCTTGCGTCAAATATTTCATCTCTTGAGAATAAAATACTTGGAATAAAAATTCCGTATAATGAGTCAGACTGTGTAAGAATCCTGTGAAATACTCATGACTTGAACACGAACGCTTGGCGATAAATGGAGAGTTTCTTGACTCAAGAAATCGTTTATGTCGTATCAGAAGATGAGAAAATGGCTAAAAATACTAAAAGCTCTGATTCAGTGAATCATGGATCTGAGACTTTCATATTGAATGAATACAGAATTTATGCAGGGGCGAACCTTCAGATATTTCTAAAATATAACCATCAAAGCAATAATATCTTTTTGTTCTTTCAAACTTACTTTGTCTCTACAGAAATATTGTCTCATTTCCAGAAAAAAAAAACATTTTTTGATTCAGTATCATCCTCCTTTCGCCCGAAGAGCACCGATTTCTTGTCTGAAATCTATCATGAATTGTTCGAATATGTATGCGATGTTCTCCACTCAAGAAATTATTTTTGTCATATTATGTCGATTTTTCTCTTAGTGTGTTGTGATTTCTTAACAAAACTCCATTGGAATTCAAAACTTTATGGTTTCATTGAACGGAAATTACGTCGTATTGACGTTATTTTCCTCAACTAATCGATGGTATTAATGTTCCAGTCTATAACAAAAAAACCGAAGCAGCGCTCAGCTCTAAGAGCAATGGAAACTCGATGGATTCACGATACACGGCGGATCCAAATCAGAGTAGGGCTCAAGCGCGGGCCGACATAATACGGCCGAGGCACACACCGCGTAAGATACCACAACCCCTTAACTCAACCTCACCCGTTGTTGTTTCACCAAGTTTGTATTTTCGTTTTTTGTTTATAATTTAATCAGTTTTTAATTACTTTTTTATTAATTCTTGTTTCGCCTATTATTTTGCATTAACTCCAATCACAGAGACTTCTACTTCATTTTTGCGTTGCTATCTTTATTTATGATTCTCAATAAGACATATCATCGCCGTATAGCCAAAGGGGCGTAAGTGCCATCATTTCGATTTTTTTTCGATTATCTCTCGTAGATTCAGCGATATTCCTCGAAAATTCAGCTTCAAGAGCCAAGTCGACTTCAATCCTTTTACCGTTTCTCTACTGAATTCTCATAATAAATGTGCTCTTCCAACGTATATGACTGATAATGGCTAACAGACGTAAGCCTGGAGTTACGCCCCTTTGTCGTTGAAAATCGGTAATCACGCCCCTTTGGTAGAGATTTTTTTGTCAACACATTTTGGTTCAGAAATTGGACGAAAAGTCGAGAAACCATTGAAACGGGAAACTTACGCCCCTTTAGCTATATGGCAACGGTACCTATTGGTTTATTGGAAGCCAGATGAATGAATAATAGACAGTTTTGTATGAGCAATTGAAGTTGGTTTTTATTAAGACGTGTTTTCACTTCGAGAGCAGTCACAGAACTGAATAAAGAATATTGAAGTCACAAAGACCATAGCCTTTTTCTTATGTTTTCTTTCTCACCGGGCTTTATTATATAAACCCAAGTTATATCGTTCAGTAATGTGATCGAATTGTTTTTTATCCTTTCAATAATACTTATTGAACAGCGGCGAAAAGATCCTGTCTCGAACGTTGAATTCGAAGCAACAATTTTCCCTGTTTCAGTCCACAATCCAAGGACAAACAAAATTGTTGTGGCACTGTACAATTATACGGCGCGAGAGAGTACAGATGTGAGTTTTGTAAAAGGCGATCAGATGGAGGTCCTGGATGATTCTGAGCCAGACTGGTGGAGAGTCTTACATCTGAGAACCCTCCAAGAGGGCCTCATTCCCTGGAATTTCGTTGCAGTTGAGCGTTCCGTTGAGAGTGAAGAGTAAGTCTCCCCTTTCTTCTGTCCTCAGCTCCGTTAAGGGGAGACTACTGTGAGTTTTTAATGTCACGGGCTATGGGAATGACATTTCTCATACATTGAGGATCGATCATATATGTTTAAAAACGAATAATTAGTGCAAAAAACTAATTGTTTATTGTTCGTTTTCCCGCAAACGCTTAAAATGTTAAAAATAATCCAGAGCCTCCAATTTTTGAGCTACAGAGATTTTTGTTTGCAAAATTTTTGGAAAAATATATGCAATAACAATTGCGAATTTGTTTTTTGAAATTCAACTCCTACGCAGCTAATTTCGTTATTATTTTAATAAAAAAATTGCATCATTCATGTCAAATAGCCCGAAAAATATTTCTAAAAGAATCGAGAATATATTTTTCATATTTTAAGGATAATTTTTCTGCCTATGTTACATGAATGGGGTAAATTTTCCTTCAATAAAAAATCCAGTGTAACGGTTTTTGAAGTCAATCTATTCGGCGTATTGTGTCATTATATTTTTTATAAATGATGATAGCATACCTTAAAGATATAACAATAATACTTTATTATATTATATTCTATATTATATTATAATACATTGTATAATGTATTATATATAACACATTATGCGTATATAATGGTATATGTAATATAACATAATATCGTATACTCAATGTATGTTATTATTATTATCAGTTTATTATTTAAATTTTTTTCTTATGTACATTATATTTTGTAATACATATAGTACTCTATTATATATTGTATATTGCACATAGTATATATAATATAGTATAGCATAGAATATAATATAATATAGTATTATCGTAATATCTTTAAGGTATGCTACCATCATTTATAAAAAATCTAATGGCACAATACGCCGTATGGATTGACTTCAAAAAACTTCACACTGGATGTATTATATATATAAAAAAAATCGAATACATTCCTGAAACTTTTCCTTCGGAAAACTTGATATTCACTTCAGAAATCTAATATAAGACTATTCAGGACAATTGACATACATTAAGCCCCATGGAGTAGGGCATACGCGCGCAGAGCGCGCGGACTAATCTAGTTATATTAAAAAAAGCGAAATAAGCTGTGTCGGAGTCAAATTCCAAAACCTAATTCGTAATTGTTATAAATTTTTTCAATAATTTTGAAAAAAAAAAACTTTTGTAGCTCCAAAATTGGAGGCCCTGAACTATTTTTAACATGTTAAGCGTCTGCGGGGTAACGAACAATAAGCAATTTTTTTGCACTAATTATTCGTTTTTAGACATAGATAATCTTCAATGCACGAGAAATCTCACTCCGATATCCCACGATTTTTAAAACTCATAGTAGTCTCCCCTTAAATTTTTGCATTTACGTACTTTCCCTGCCCTTTATATGACAGCAATAGTGAACATGTAATTGGATTGTTTCTTTTCCCTTTGTTCTCGAAAAGCTGGTTCTTTGAGAACGTTTCGAGGAAGGAAGCCGGAAAATTACTCCTCGTCGATGAGAATCCACGTGGAACGTTCCTGGTGAGGCCGAGTGAGCATAACCCTCGGGGTTATAGCCTTTCTGTCAAAGACTGGGAGGAGGGAAGGGGACATCATGTGAAACACTACAAAATAAAGCCTCTGGACAATGGTGGATTCTTCATCGCTACCAATCAAACGTTCCCGACTCTACCAGCACTCGTAATGGCCTACAGCAGTTAGTATATTTTTTATACATATTAAATCATTGACTATAGACGGTACTTGTTGTACCTATTTCTTTTCAAAATCATCAATAATTTTAAAAAAGCACCTCTTAAATCGGTAACGTGAAAAAACCTGTCTATTTGGATTTAAAGTAGTACAGTATGCCGTTCGACATTCGCATGCAAAGAGCCCAAACTTTTAGGAAATTACTCTTGAAATTTCAAGTGAGAAAGCTTGAAATTTTTAACTACAAAATTACATGAATTTTCTGTACATTTCTTCATTGACGAATCAGTCAATTTCTTGAATATTCAAGTAATTCTTGATTTTCAAGTCCATACGGCACTGAAAAACATTGAAAATTTTGAAAATTCAGGCAATAACTTTGCTGAATTCTCAATTGATTGAAAATTGAACTGTCCAATTTTCACGATGAGTTTGAAGAATATTCGAGCTTTCATTGAAAAATCAATGATTCTTACATATGAAAAACCCAGTTTTCTTGAATTTTCAAGATGAACGAGAAGTTTAGTGAACGCTTTCACTTGAATTTGAATTCAACCTCACAACATGGAAAATTCAGCTGACGTTGTCGTGGAAATTTCAAGAAATTTTTAACAGTGCACATAGAACAAAAAAGTTCCTAGTTTGCAGACTCAAGTTTTAAAAGGAGACCGTAGCAAAGTTGCAAGGAGTTGTCCCTACCATGCTGATGATTTTACTACTCATTTTTTATTCTCCACAAATGGAAAAAAAAATCGAGTTTTAATTTTTTTATTAACGACATGTGGCTGTGCAGGCATAAAATCTTCTAAATAGTCCCCTTACCAGGATTTTTCATATTTTTAGTTCAATTTTGGTTAGCACATACATGATATAGTGACGAAAAAAAAGTGAATATGATGGAAATTGAAGGCCATGACACATAAATAAACTACAATGTTTCTTTGATTTTTTTGATCATTCATTTCACGAAACTGCCATACTAATGATAAAAAAACAAAACAAAATTGTAGTTCATTGCTGTGTCATAGCCTTCAGTTTGCACTATATTAAAATACGATTGTCTCTACCCACTCTAAGAAAAAAAATTGAAAAATTGGAATTAAAAAAAAACTCACATATCGTTAGCTTTATAACAGAGTAACGTAAGTGCCAAAAAATGTCCTCAGTCAAAAAGTTTCGAATCTTAAACTTGTTTCCATATAGTTACTTCTCATTTCTCACTTTCAGGAGAATTTTCGTATTTTGGCACTTACGTTACTCTGTTATGAAGCTAACGATATATTTTCGTCAATATATTTTGTGTGTGAAAACCAAAATTCAAGTCAATTCATCAAAAATCCTGGTAACGGGATTATTTTAAAGCTTTTATGCCTGTACAGCCACATTTCGTCATCGGAAAAAATTGGAACTTGATTTTTTATCATTTTTTGAATGCAAAAAATAAGTACCAACGTTATCTGTAAGATAGAGACAACTCCCTGCAACTGTCAAATTTCACCGCGGTCTCCTATTAATTGAGAAACTCATGATTCCACAAGGCACTGCACTGCGGATGAGAAGCTGATTACTTAATTCCAGAAGAAGAATTACATTCGGTATCCTTATATTCGGTACAAAAACCTCATTCATTTCAAGTGAGAAGAGTTTTCAAATCAAGGACCGCTTGATTCTTGAGTCGAGAACCATTGGGTTCTTAAATTTAGAATTTTTTCGGGGGAAAAATTTTCCGGGGATTTTTCTCCGGGGTATTTCTCACTGGGAAAAAACCGGGAACCAAAAAATTTCAAATGACTTGATTTATTTCATTCTCATAAATTATTGAATTTTTCTATCCTCACATGTTGTTGACGAAGGCAATAATAATTGCTTGAATCAAATAAGAAATTAGTATATCTGTTCCGCAATTATTAGATTGAACAGCAATTTCACGAAATTTTCATTTTTTAGAGTTGAATATCGCAGAAACTACGTACTGTAAAATTTTGTAAAAAATTGACCGTAAGAACCATTCTTTATAAGATGGAAAAACCGAGTTCGGGGAGACCCATAACTCCCGTTTGCCCTACACTGAGAGAAAAAAACACGTCTTGTTTGACATGCACTCTTTGCATGTTTGACACAAAAAACCTTTTTTTTATAATAAAAAAAAAACTATTTTCTTGGCACAAGTAAGACTTGTTTGAGAACTCTGTCATTTTTCTTTTAGTGTACAGTCAAGCACTAAAGTTCGTAAACAGAATACATAGAATGCAAGTTCAGGCTGTTCACGAACTTTAGTGGATCGACTGTATGCCTCGCGTGTTCAAAGCCTTCATTTCATCATTTATTATCTCCTAAACTGTGTAGTACACAGTTAGTTAGAATTTTTTTCAACAGCTGGGTAATATATAATATCAACATCTATGAAAAATATGGGGACAACGTAAGAAAGATCTGTTCACTAGGGATGTACCTAAGCGTCATTTAGTTTTCTCGTGAATATAACGGTGACACACTGATTTTCAAACATTATTATTTGCTCACAGAAAATGCTCTCGGTCTATGCCACGTACTATCGAAACCATGTCCAAAACCTCAACCGGATATGTGGGATCTCGGTCCAGAGCTCAGAGACAAATGGGAAATTAATCGAAGTCAAATCCAGTTGATCAGAAAACTCGGTCATGGAAACTTCGGTGAAGTGTACTACGGCAAATGGCGGGATAAAATTGAAGTTGCTGTGAAAACCCTCAGGCCAGGAACAATGTCAACGGAAGCGTTCCTCCAGGAGGCAGCAATTATGAAACAATTCAGACATCGACATCTTGTCGCATTGTATGCCGTATGCTCAAAAGAAGAACCTATCTACATTGTCCAAGAATACATGTGTAATGGCAGTTTGTTAGACTTCCTCAGAACGGGTGATGGAAAGTACATGCAGTTCGAAGATTTAATTTATATCGCTGCGCAAGTTGCATCGGGTATGGAACACTTGGAGAGTAAACAATTGATTCACCGAGATTTGGCCGCCAGGAATGTCCTTATCGGCGAGAAGAATAAAGCTAAAATTTGCGACTTTGGCCTCGCTAGGGTAATTGAGGATGACGAGTACTGTCCCAAGCAGGGAAGTCGATTCCCCGTTAAATGGACCGCCCCAGAGGCCATAGTTTACGGCAGATTCAGCATCAAAAGTGACGTTTGGTCCTACGGAATTCTCCTCATGGAACTTTTCACTTACGGACAAGTACCTTATCCAGGTAAAGCATTGTGATAAGTTCATTTCCTTAGGGAAAAAAATTACTAATCGTACAAAATTAAGTTCCTTTTAAGGAGACAGAGGCGGGGTTAATATTGTTCAAAGTAAACGTAAACTATTTATTGATCTAGCAGTCATAATTAAATCACAAAAATCCAGTGGTTTTATTTATTACTATCACATAGTAAATATTTTTATTGAATAAGTTTTATAAATCAGTAGACAGAATGAAACTCTTCAGTTCCATTTCACGACTACAACTATAAGTAATTTTTTGCAACGTATGAAATTACTAGCAAAACTTTTCTCGTTCTGAGTTACCAAAACCCTGAATATAAAATTTAAATGCCCGAGGCTAAAGGCTTTCGGACGATGGTCAGGGCTTGTTTGTGACGAATTTCGCAAAAATTTATAACAATATCATAGGACAAGGAATGATTAATCTGGTATAGTTCCTGTTACTTTTTTAAAACTCAAATATAGCAAGAGGGGATTGTCGGCAAAACTTGTGACTGTGATGTAGATTGGGATCTGTTTATTGCGTTGTTTTGCTCATTGGTTAAAATTTTAATTGAAAAAATAAAAATTACAAAAATTCAGTAGTGAAGTAGTAAAACGGTTTAAGTCGGTTTATCTCCCAGTTCAATTTTTCAAGAATATTTCCGAATCTAAGAGAGATACCGAAATTTTCGTAATTATATTTGTTGTAGCTCTCAATCGACTCTACAAAAAAGTTATAACAAAAATTTCGCTATCTTTCTTAGATTCCGAGATATTCATTGAAAACTGGCCAATAGTCAAAATTGAATTGTACCGTTTTACCACTTCCGTACTGAATTGGTCGAAAGTTGACAAGATTCGTTTGTAGTATTTATTGATCCATCATGTGATTTCAATAGGATTGATCCTATGTTTCTGCTGACTGGCTTTTTGTTTATTCATATGTTTTGTTTTGCACATTTTGTGTTCCGACTCGAATATTAATAGAAATAGTTTGACGAGATGTAGATTGCCGTCAAGAGCCTGATGAAGCTAAAATAATTTAGCGAACCGTCGTACTATGACAATTTAATCAACGTAGTAATTATTTCTTCAATATCCCCTGACCTTTCTTATATTAATATTTATATCATTCGATTCCGTAAATTAAAAAAATATTAACAAACTTTCATTTCTCAAAGGTATGCACGGACGTGAAGTGATTGAACAAGTCGACAAAGGATACAGAATGCCAAAACCACCGGGTCACCCACTGCCAGACAGCATTTATCGTCTAATGTTACAATGCTGGGACGCGTGTCCCGAAAAGCGGCCCACCTTCGAGTTCCTCAATCATTATTTCGAGTCATTCAATGTGACAAGTGAAATACCTTACCTAGAACCACCAACGGACTGATACACGGCGCAGATGTCGGCACAAATGATGCCGCACTATGCTCACTATCATCCAGCTCATCTTAATTGTGCCATGGAATTCTACGGTATTTATTGTTGAACAAAAAAAGAAAGAAAGGGCGATGACAGAGAAAATATTGTAAGAGAAGATAGATAATATTTGATACCTCGAGTTTACACCGAGACCTCTTGAACATTATATTTATATTCCTTCTGATATCGAAAAAACTTTTGGAAAAACACTGCCAGGTCTTTGCCAATAATTTGTAGTAGACTAAATGTCGTTAACTCTCTGACACAAAACGCTGAACAAAGCGTTGACTTCAAAAGGGTTAATGTCTATTTCTCGTGAGTTTGACTGTTGATTTCACATTTTTATGTATAAATGAGTGCCATGACCACGTTTTCATTCCACCATCGGAATTTTATGATTATCACATGTCGGGAAAGAAGATGTGTGTCTTCAACTGAAATTTTGGAGTTTTGAGATTAATAATGAGGAGAAACATTAAGGAAGTGGAGATTATACCTAAAGTTTAATCATTGCAATTTTGTAATATCCCATGAAGTTTTTATGGCAGAGAGAAACCAAAATAACCATCAGATTCTCTTGGACAAGAATATTGATAACTTTCGTATTAGTGACGGATGCTAAGAATGCGAAGGTAACTCGGGGGATCGTTAGAACCGATGTATCTTGAATCGGTGCCTTTGGGCAATCTTTTTCGAGGAGAACTTCCTGAAGTTCCATCAACGGTTCATTTTGGAGTTGAAGTTTAGAGATGAAACTAAAGACAATGCGCTATGATTTTCAGAAGGCGAGACGTTCACGAGAACTTTCCCGGAAGTTGATTCTTTATGTAAATTTCAACGGAGATTCTCATACATTTCGATTGTATTTATATTTCAAGGCCCGGTTGGATTATCTTTCGAACGTGATCTTGGTTGGTCTTTTATTTTGACAATCTGAAATGATATCCAATTGCTATTCGGTTTTACATAGCCCTGGAGTCTCAAAATATTGTTATTGTACAATAAAAAAAACGTTGAAAAAAAGCTGAACATTTTCAAAGAGCCTGTTTGAATAATATTGGGAAATAAACCCAATAGAGAGGAAATTCCAAATTAATAATTTGATGTATCTAACAGCTGTTAGGACGTCATTTGTCACAGTAGTCAATGGCTATCAGATCGTTAGTTACCATGATAAATTATCGATTCACTATTTCTTCTCTATCGGACTTATTTCTTAATCTTTATTAAAAACGCTCTTTGGAAATGTTCAGTTGTTTTTCTACTTTTTTTTATTGTACAATCATAATTTTTAGGGTCTCCTGCATGATGTAAAATTCAATGGAAATTATGATATATTTTACATTATAAAGATGGAAAAACAATCGAGATAACGTTCGAAAGATGCTTGTGCACGAGGGTCTTAAATCAAGTCACATTTTTTTTCGTCAATATATTACATGTGAAGAGACCAAAATTCAAGTCAGTCCATCAAAAATCCTGGTAAGGAAACTATTTTAAAGATTGTATGCCCGTGCAGCCACATGCCGTCATTGGAAAAAATTGAAACTTGATTTTTCTCATTTTTTGAGTATAAAAAATACCAAAGTCATCGCTCTGATGGAGACGACCCCCTATAATTTTCATATTTCATCGTAATCTCCCCTTAATCTCTCAGTCCAGTTTGAAGCTTCCTGATCTTTCAGTCTGTTTTTCTATAACACTTCGCGTCCCCGCTCTTTAAGATGCTATAGAGGGCTCGACACAAATTCCTTATCAATTTTTGGTCTAGGCCCCAGTCGAGCTTCTTTGTGCGTATCCCCAGTACCTCGAACCTTGAGAGTGCCGGAGATTAGGACTAGCACTGACCCACGACGTCTCCGAGATACCTCAGCTCTGACGGTTTCCCCGAGTTACCTTTGTATACGTACTGCTTTTAAGGGAAGAGTGAACTTAGTTTTTAGCTGTGGAAATACTTGAGAGAAGGTAATGATTGAGTAGTGGTGATATGTGCTGATGTTCACTCTGACATTACAAGCATTATACCTTTAAAATTCATCGATAATATATAATCGTCGAGAGACGAGAACATTATATAAATGTATGAACTCATACAAAATTAGAGGTACACTTATCTCGATATGTACGATGATTGACTTGATAGGGAAGAGTAGAGGCATGTTGTTGGTCGCGAGTTATGCTCGCCCTCGAATTTGGATGAGTTTTTATTGGTAAATTGGAGTTGGTACCGACCTTTTGGATCATACCAAGAGCTTACCAATCCACCAAATGTTTGCTATACGATTGGAGAATTTGGAGCGAAATAAAAAAGAAAGGGAATTGGTATTCCATCGCCGGCTGGAGCGATCGCGTCAACAACTTCCTAATTTAGAGCAGTTAGTGAGGTGTATACATCCCGAAAACGATCGATCGATGTCATTGTTCTGAAAGTTTTTTTCTTAACTGAAAATCGGTTGGGGCGAGCTGCGATAAAATTTGAAAGTCCTTGAATGGCAGAGTTATTGGCATTTGAGAAGAAACCAACCCTTTATTGAGTATTGGGTATTGCAAGGAGCACAGATGATTCCAACATTGCCAAAACACAATTTCTAATCAATTGCGCTAGAAATTGAATCATATAGAATTGGTTTGTATCTGAATGGGCAGAGGTATTTTTTTGGACATATCCATATATTATGCAAAAATTCCATATCTGTATTTTGTGTAGGGGGGCGTCCATTAATCACGTGACACTTTTTAGGGGGGGGGAGCAGGTATGACGGATAATCACAAAGGGCGAGGGGGGGTCTTGGGGGATATCACGTGTATTTTTTGTTGAACCCTGACAGTAGTGTTTGTTAGTGTTGAACAATGTTTTAACAATCTTTGGATTGATGACGACTCATGAATTCAGAGTCTCTTCTGTACGAAACGTGCTAATATAGAGAAGACTTTTCCCAAAGAGACACGATAGAAAAGGCTATTTCCAAAGAGGAACTATTTGCAGAGTGATCGATATCAAATATCGAAACATTACACTATTGAAATTAATAACTATGACTCATATACTTTAACGATTTGTTTTTGGAATTGTGACGTATTGAGATCGATCAATACGTCGATTTATAATAATTATAATTATTATGCCCAAAGTGGTGGACGATGGGAATGGGAAACGAGGTTTCTCATTCCCTTCATCCAAAGATTGCTCAGCAGTCCCACGGTGTCCCATGGACACCAGCGTAAGCAGTTCCACGGTTTCTACAGGTCCAGTTCAGGGTGCTGAACTGTTTGACTGTGTAGGTTTCTATACAAACGAATGCACGAAACCGTATTAGTGAAGAAAACCGTGGGATTGCTTAGGTAAGCATTTTGGGACTTTGACGAGTTTGGACGACTCGGAAAGCACCAGAGTACGTCAGAGTACGGCAGGAGTTGAAGATGGACGGACGTCCTCTCCTAGCCAAAAATCTAGAGTACGATCAGGAGCAAAACAGAGCGGATCTCTGAGCTCAGGCCTTCAGCCAACCAAGAACCAAGTCAAGTCAAGGTCCCAAAGTCGAGTCAAGTACCGCGTTATACCGACCCATTAAACACTACCGTGTATAAAAGGAAGTTAATATATAATTATTTTACCCACATTAGTACGGTCGGTTTAATATCGTTAACCCTCCCACTATCCTTCACTTATCCCTCCGATTGAGCGAACCACCCGTGAGCTCACCGAGACTAGCCGAGGTCGGAGGTAAACATGAGTTAAAAACGAAAAAATAAACCATTTCGTCACAGAATAAAATTATTTTTCGTTCATTAGACGTGTATAAAAGAGTTGTCTTTTTAACAAAAAAAAAAAAAAATTTTTTTCAAAAGCGATCATTTTTTATCCTGAGTTTTGAAAAAAAACACACGTGATAACATGCGTCGGGGGGGTCGACGAAAGGTCACGATTGATCACCAGGGGGGGAGGGGGTCAGAAATGAGCCAAAATTGGATCACGTGATTAATGGACACCCCATAGACTGTATTTAATATGTGCAAAATTTAATTTCGTCTAGACTAGTTTAGACGTTGATGTAGGGACGTCAATTTCGGACATATTAGGGAAAAATAAGCGGTGCCATTCATAAGGAATACCTCTGTATTCATATTGAGTATGGATATTTTTCAAAATCCATGCTTGTTGTTAGTTGTCTACATATCTATATGTAAATTAATTTCTAGCTCAATTCACCAGAAAGAGAACCAGGCAAACCACTTTCAAGGTTCGTTCCAATTAAAATCCCGTGAATTAAAATATAAATACCAAAAATTCTTTGATTTATTACGGCAAAATCCAGGGACTTCCAAATTCACCACAGTCTCCTCTTGAATCGTTTTATTGAAAATTGTGTTGAAATTTGAATTGTATCGTCATTTGCTGAGAAATTTTTGTGTCTCATACATATCCGTAAACACCTTTTGTTCCAAGCTGTCTGAATAGGTTTCAAAATCTCAAACTTTCAGTGTATAATGAAACATCGATTTCCCATTTTCGGAGTGAATATAGTAACGTAATAACTAATATATTTGATAAAGTTATGGAATAAGAAGCCAATCTATGTCAGAAATTCGAAACAATCCAAAGTGACTGCCGTGAGGGAATAGGTTTGAGACGTAGGGCTGGTTGTATCAAGTAAATTTGATCACTGTTGCCATTACGATGGTTTGTCCCAGAGTAGAATTTCAACAGACAGTAAAATATATTTACAACTTTTTCACGGAAGATTTTTATTGACGTCTAGAAGAAAATTTGTGTTTCTTTTCGCAGTCGACTAAATCAACATTCTCGAAAGATTCAACAATTGCAGAGTTTTCAAATCAGTAGCGAAGTGGTAAAACGGTTTAAGTCGACTTATCTCTCAGTTGAGTTTTTGAAGAATATCTCCGAATCTAAAGGAGATAATGAAATTTTCGTAGGAACCTCTTTTCTAGAGCAAATTAAGTGCTACAAGAAAGGTCTGAACAAAAATTTAGCTATCTCCCTGAGATTCCAAGATATTCACTAAAAACTGGCCAATTGTCCAAATCGAGTTAAACCGCTTTACCACTTGACTATTGAAATGATTGTTGAATTTTCCATCCGTGTTTATCTAGTTTATTCTATAACTTTTTAAGAATTTCCATGATTTTCCTGAGAAACGCACAACACTCGACGAAAATAGAGGAACGAAACGTCAATCTAACAGTTTCAGAAAAGAAATGAAATGGAAAAAAATAGTGAACTCAGTGAGCCAAAACTGAGCGCATTTCGTCTATTGTTAGTATCTCATTGCCTTGACCCAATCAACTGTGATTTTTTCCACTTTCCAAACGAATGCATTTATGTTAAAATTTTAATAATAGTTTCATCCATTCGCTGAGTTAAAAGACTGCTAAGAACCTGAGCCATGACGATGCATTTTTTTGCATCAAGCCCAATTCGTTGATCTTCCATCGTATGTGTTTCAAAGGAAATGGACATTGAGTGGAGATTACAATGAACTTCAGACATTATGGTTTTCCTATATTTCATGTATAAAAAAACTGATGATTGGTGGGAAAAAAAATCATTGTTTAGGATCTATTTGTCGTGCAGAGGCTTAAAGTGACATAATCGAAAAACCTGTCCAGTGTTCTCATTTGGTGAGACGAACAACTTTTTTTTCAAAATTAAAAAACACATGCAAGAAAGCAATTACAACTCACATGTTCAATACTTAACTCCTAAGCAGAGCATTTTTTTCGATATGAAAAAATTCATTGAACATGCGAGCTAATTCGAGATTGAAGTATGGGGACATTTATACTGAATAAGATTTCAAATATTGATGAAGTGATTCGCAAGGTACCCGGAAAAATGTTCCCTATATTTTCTTTTTCTGTGTCTCTTTCCGTTTTATTCTTTTTTTATAACAATGATTTGGAAAATGAAGACCCGGAAAAAAACGGAAAAACAGACAATGGAAAAAAAGATTCAGAAAAAAACTTATGGGATGAAAATTCAGGAAAGAAGGCTACATCTTAGCGACCCTTGCGACTCCTTTTTTTTATGCTTGTGACTTTTGCGATTCATTCTTTTTTGTAATTTTTCTAATTGACCCTCTCTTGTGATCTTTGTGTTTTTTTTTTCCTTTGTAACCCTTGTATTAGGACTTTTCTTGAGAATTTTCCTAATGGATCCGGCGTTGCAATCCTCGGAATCTTCCTTTCAACTTAAGGGGAGACGGAACCCCTTTGTCTACATCAAATCTTAGAATTGTGTTTTCTTCTACAATTATCAATTTCTATCTATGAAATTACTTTATCGACTCGATTATCGCATTGTTGAGCCAATGAAGTAGTTTAATGAATAAAAAATGATAATTGCAGGAGAAAACATAATTCTAATTCTTATTGTTCGTTTTTCTTCTAGATGCTTAGAGGTTCATTTTTTTCAAAAAATTTTAAAAACTGTGTAGAATAACAACTACGAATAATTTTTTTTCAATTCGATATTTAAGTAGCAAATTTTGTTTTAGTTTCAGATGAAAAATTGCATTATGAACGCAGAATTTGCTATTTCGAAGATTTCACGTTTTTGGTGAATATTTTTCCGGAGAACATGTATCCTAGAACCGATTCATAATTGTTATGCTGTACATTTTTGTAAAATTTTGGGGAAAAACAGTTCCCAGACAGCAAAACTCGACAATTTGCCGCAATTTATCGGCAAAATAGCCTTCTTTATGGCAAACTTTCGGATCACTGTTTACTGGGTTGTCATTACATTATTTCAAGCTTCTACACGACTATCGGACAATGAAGAATGAATTTTTTCACTAATTATCAGTTTACATATAAGAGTATACACACATGGAGCTCCTCACGACAATAAACCGTGAAGTTTAAAACTCATAATAGTCTCCCTTAATGTTCCCACCCCCGATAAAATAGTCAATAGATATTTGCGCAACCAGCCCTGAAGAAGAGAGATGAAAAGAATTTAAAAAACATAATAAATTTGAAATTAAGATGAAGAAAATGTTAGACCTACGAAGTGATTAAGAGGAAAATTGTAAATTTTCATAGCGATATAGTTTGTAAGTAGAATTCCCTTTGGAATGGAAATAATACATAAGAAATCACGGAAAAAAAAGTTTGATATATACAAAGGAAAGACTCTGCAGCAGATAATTTACCAGTAAAATCTCCCGGTAAAATACAACTTACTCATCTCAAATTTTGCAGTTGTTAGAACACTAAGATAATGTTAACGATATTTTCCATTTCATCGATGATAGAGGGAAAAATAATGCAATTTCCAACGTTGACATTGTGAAGTAGCCATTGTCATGTTTTTTTTAAGTAATTAGTTCGTAGCCGTGTACGTCCAACAACTTTTTTCTATAAAAGTTTTTATACCAACCGAAACGTTATCCATGTATGAACCGCACTGATATCCAAATGTAAGAAAGGTGTAGTTTGTTATATTTAATTAAAAATGAGGAGAGTTTTTTCCCCCATTCAATTCTCGATAATTCCCAGATAACAAGATGTCGACAATTCGTCGTTGTTACTTTTGAATTTTGATGAAAAAGTGAAAATTTAGAATCACGATCAATATGATAGTGCTAAGACAGTTTGAGGGACACAATTGTGCAGTAAATTGAAGGACAAATTTGACTGAGGGATAAACAATGATGAACCTTGAGTTTGTTTGCATTCGACTGAGAATTTTTGACTCGCGTGCCAAGATAATCAGTATCATGCCATATTTTTTTTTTGCCCTGCGACTCTCCCGAAATTTACATTTCACTGAAAATGCAGAAAAATCTGTATGTATATCAATTTAGCGATTTTATCAGTGTTCTCAGCAGACAGATAAAGAAAAAATAACAGAGTAAAAGTTTGTAAAGTGTCGTGAGGCTCGGCATAAGAAAAATTTCACCAAATCTGTGATATAGCGCAAACACACCTCAAAGTTTTGATACTGAATTTTCAAATTGTACGGGCCCCACGACATTGACGTCCAGATGATCTCATCATTACTGATTCACCAGAATATTTTCCGCACTGATGCGAAGAGTAGAAAAAAAGGAATATTTTTATTCAAGGATTAATTGTCGTCAGAACCAATCCATAATTTGCCATTACACACGGTTCGATGATAAACATAATATATTTCCTGATGGATTGACAAAGAAACAAATAATTCATAGAGAATACGATTGTTCATCACGATTGTTCATGTACCAAAGCTTATTACTGTATTTGTGGAGTAATTTAATGATTACTTTGTATATCGCTGTATTAATTACCTACCATTGTCGTAAAATGCTTATGCAAATTAAATATTTAAATATATTATGTATAATACTTCAACCAATCATGACAATTTTGCTGCCAATTCATCATTATTGTGATAGAATTGAGGCTTTCAATGACGGACAAATGAATCTTATTATCTTCACTTTTGTTTTATGAATTTTTCACTTCTTTCTTAAAAAATACAAACCATTCTCAACGATAAGGTGACATGCAATACCGTGCCATTGACATTATAGTGACAAAAATCGACTCGTTGACAAGATCAAAATTACACGGAGCGCAAAAAAAAAAATAACTAACATTATTTCGAACACTACATATGACATTACTAAATGATTTTTTTCAAAATGCAAAAAGTATTAGATTTCACACATGAGAATGCATGCCATGAAAAAAACAAGAAATTATGAGATTAAATTTGTTGCGCAGATAATTTATAATCAATGGAAGTAAATTAATATTATGAGAAATGAAAATAAGTGGTACATAATACATTGTACATTAAATATACATCATTTCGGCCATATGCGACATTTTCTTTGGGATATGAACGAATTCTTCAAAGTAACTAGCAAGTTCATCGATGGTAACATCACAAGATAATGGTGGTGATATTCTTGCTTGCACTGAACATGTATTTGTGCTTGTCGATTGGCCAGATGTTGATGAAGTTGGTTCATTACTATTATTACTGATACAGCCACCACCACCACCAGCAGCAGCAGAAGCGCTCTTCAAACTTGGCATCGTATTGCTTCTAGCGCGTTTAAAACTATTAGAACTATAACTTTCATTCAAACTCGTATCATCTTTAACTACCCGTTCATTATTAATATTGAGTGCTTTAAAGTCTTTTGTCACCGAACCATGGCCGAATGTACGTGAGTGTTTCTTTCGCCTACTCGAAATACTGATTTTACATGTTTCTTTCAGCATTGTACTTGCAATTGATTCACACAAAATGTTTGAAGTTCCATTATCATTGAGTTTAAGAACAGCTTCCCTTATTATACAATTCTTTTTTGGCTGATCGATAATTTTATCACTTTTTGATGGCTTAAAGTTCGTTGTAGGTTTAACACCACGTGGACTGATGAAATTCGGTGTTGCTCGATTTGGCATTGATTTTCTCCTGAACAGATAACTTGTGTCTTGGTTTTTACCACGACCGTTTGAACGGAAGGGGTTTGAAGACTTTGATTCCTCGATACTTCCACTGCTGCTCCTGCTCCTGCTTATGAACAAATTTCTTTATGTTAATATTATTTTGTTTCGTTTTTTGTCATGTTGAAATCGTTATTTAAACGTTAAATGCTAGCCAATTTTAAAATATTGTCGGGGAATCCAGGAGGTGATCAATCACGACGGAATTCAAGTTCTGGAATTAAGAATATCCTAGTATCTTGTATAGTTTGGTACAGACTGGACTGTAGATTCAACAATTTTCAATCATTAAATTTGCGTGAATTATTTTGCATGAGAATGTTTTTAAAATTAAATTGCGTGGGGAAAATTGAAAAAACTCAGAAATATTCAACGTCATTCAAAATACATTTTGCACAGAACTATTAATTTTTTAAATATTCGGTGTTTATAAATAAATAATTCAAACCGTTTAAACTTTCGGTAGTCTTTTTTTTTACGCATGAAATCGATTTCTGGTACAATTCTGAATATAGATAAATTTGTTACGATTCCGAACGAATGATTGTTATGGTGGAAAATTGATTGTTTATAAATTACTTATAGCAAATGCTCGTAACTCTCAAAAGGTGCACTTTTTAAATTATTTTATCAATCTTCCAAAAGTAAACTTTTTAATTTTTTTTTAGATTTTCAAAATGTTTTCTAACGGTTCAATATCAAGATTGAACTTCAGACCTGCAAAGTTTAAATAATAAAATCATTGTAAAATGTCCGGAAACTTAGGATCAAATGGGGCTCAAATGAAATCTCTGATCTTCGACTACACAAATAGAAAAGTATTTCACTGAAAAAAAAAGTGAAGTAATTCACTGAAAAAATGATCGAGTCGATAATGTAATTTCATGAATATAAAGTAATAATTGTAGAAGAAAACAGAATTCTAAAAATTCATATAGACACAGGGGTTTTGTTTCCCCCTAAGGAAAATTCGTGTTTCGTGGTAGGATCTAAAATAATAAAATCACCTAAACGGGAATATGACAGCTTCCATACGTCCAAGAATGTTTTAATTAGCAGAAAAAAATTATTTGAAGTGAAAATAACAAAACAAAGAATAATTAAATTCAGAAATAGTTGAATTCAACCGAAATTTATGGACGACTGGGCCATATTTTTTTTATTTATTAAATGCCGATCAATAGAAAAAATAATTGATCACACGATTATACACGAGTAATATTATTGAAAGGTGAAGGTACTTATGGAATATTCAATACATGTTGAAATCGTCCAGTACTAACTCCCGTCCAGAAATTGACCTGTTTACCCTACACTGAGAAAGAATTACTTTTGCCAAAGAATCATTTTCTTGAGAGAATAATTCATTTTTTCTTCCAAGTCAGTCATTGCCGGGTGGTCCAAGTAAGTCCAAATATCTTCAAATATTACAATTATGTTGAATTATGGGATGTTTATGCTACATATTACCTTGAATGAACTTCATTGACAATTATTAACATTTAGAATTATTCAAAATTATTTTACCTCAGAAAAACTCAAATTTTAATAAATTGAATAATAATTAAGGGTGCTCATTCAAGGTCATCGCGTGCTAAATGGAAAAAGGTCGTATAAACCTAATGTAGGGAACGTCAAATCTGGACTATTTGGGCTCTCTAGAATCATTTTAACCCGACTCTTGCGGACAATTTTTTTTGAAGCATACGACCTTTTTCCACAAATGTGTCTCCAACAGAAATTTGAAGAGAAAAATGAAGAGAAAACAGCGAAAAGTTTTTTTTTTCACTTTTCCACTATTGGAAAAACATTTGTGGAACAAGGTCGTATGCGTAAAAAAAATGTCCTCAAAAGTTGGATCAAAATGATTCTGCAGAGTCCAAATCGTCCAGATTTCATGATCCCCAGATTAGTTTTATACGACCTTTTTCCATTTCGTTGACCTAAAAATGGCAAAATAATGCATATAAAAATAATATGGTCATCTCATAATCATCTGTAGCATAATGATCTCAATTCAGTAGCGAAGCGGTAAACCGGGTCAAATCGATTTTGACTTTTGGCCAGTTTTTCATAAATATCTCGGAATCTAAGAAAGATAGCAAAATTTTTCTCATGACCTTTTTTATAACCTTCAACTGGCTCTACGAAAAAGGCGGTGAAAAAATTCTTTTATCTCTTTTAGATTTTGAGATATTCCGAAAAAACTGGCCAATACTCAAAATCGACTTGACCCGGTTTACCGCTTCGATACTGAATTCAACATAATTGTAATAGTTAACGACGGACTTGGACCACCTGGGAATGATTGCCCTGGAGAAATACACCCCTTAAAAAATAAATTCTTCTCCCTAAAAAATGATTCCTTCATAAAAGAATTTTTTTTTCTCAGTGTATCCTAGAGAGACTCAATGATCCAAGCTTGAAAAATTGGAAACGATTGCCGAATTTTCCAGATTCTGCACCGATCTGGATCTTCCCACATCTTTTTAGAACATTCCGCGATTTTCCGGAGAATGACAGACATCTCAAATCGTATACATGAAGTCTGATAACAAGATACTAGAAGGGATAAATAATTTCTCCTTTATGATTCTCGTTAAAAGTTATGTAGAGAAATTTCGTAAACATAACCAGAATCGGGTGACTCATCAATTTCGACACAAGGTCATCCGGAGTGTATGCCTTCGAGCAATCGAAAAATGGAATTTTGAGGCAGGAATGTTTTATTACTAGACTAGATTGAAAGATTATCAATCCTTCTGAGAAATATCGGAAGTACTCTAGCAAATGGGGGATATTGGGGTTGATAAATAAGAAAAATGGTAACTCACTGTGGACAACTGGTTGACAATCGATCAATTTCAAGTTTTTCTAGGCTAGCTGGCAGCACCTCGTCTGCCATAATCCTGATCCTTGTGCCCTTGACTCTCAGTGGGAACATGACATGATGATGTTACAATGTTGACAAACAAAAGTTGACACTTGGAGATGGAAGTTTCGAGAAGTTTTGTGTTTTGTATAGATTACAAAACAAAAACGCAAATTTCCAACGAGAAAACGTGAAATTATCTGATTTTCCTCACTTTTTATCAGAAGAGTTGAAGGTTCAAGCGCAGAGAAATCATGAAAATGATAGAATAATAGTAACACTCAATCACGGATTCTTTGTTTTTGTCAGTTGTCACTGCCAGTGTCTTCAATGTTGTACTTTCTCAGTGCGAGCGTCTTCAGTCATCTCAATGCTGGGCTTGTCCCGCAGTTCCAAAATTTAACACTCTTATTCCAAGGTCAATTAATAATCCGCAAAAAAACAAAGTATAAATATAAACAGACAATTGCGCGCAACTGCCATTTTCCCATTATTATATATTATATATGCCACACTGTAGGTATATGATATATTGCGTTCTACAACTACGTCAAAGAGGATAGACTAAAGTAGAGGCTCAGATCCGGGGGTTTGGCCGACCCGAGAGTGAGGCTAGTACGACCCCATGGCAGAGAGGGCGACGCGGTCGATTTCGGTGTCTGGCCGAGTTCGCTATTTCGGTAACTCGGCAGTAATAGCAGTTCCGCTGTCACAGGGATAGTTTCGAACGGGAATTTATGCCCTCCTCGTCCTCAACATGTTCTTAATGTTTTTCAGGTGATTCATTTGCTGGCTAATTAATATTAAGGAATGAAACCCAGACGGTGTGATGGAGAATTAAATTCCCCATCAATCGATTCCCATTGCATCCCTTAATCTCTGTAACAAAAAAATACAAACTACGACAAAAGTCATGGGCCAGTGAGAAAAATAATTTTCTATCTCGGCGCACACTGACTTTTCACCAGTCGCCCGCGAATTAAAAATTCACTTCTCCCCTCCTAATTGAGATTAAGGGATGAAAAAAGGGCAGTTGATTCATTATCAATATTTATAAGGTATTCATGAGAAACTAAAATTCAATGAATTCCATTTCTTCATTTCAACAAATAATAGATCAGCGCGCGCGACAGCGCGTGCATAGATCTTGTCACCTAAATGGGGGGATATGATGGATTCCATACATTCATAGTATATTTCGTCATTAGGCCGAAAAAAACTTTTTAGGCCGGATGACGCTGTTGTACCCAGCGTGGGGGGTACTTATAATTATAGTAGGTTCTAGGCTTAAAGGGATAAATCCCACCAATGGTTTATCGGTATTTAAATATGAGAATTTATTACATGATTATAATTACTGTGTCATCTGACTGATTACAAAGAGTTTACGACTTTTGTACGCGTCGGAGTCCAATTCAGCTCTGTCCTGTGCAGACCCAACCGTCTCTTAAATAATACATTGATTGTTTACATTTCATCACTTGGTCAGCATAATCCAGTTACGCTGGCAAGTGTCACGTTGACAATACTGTATGTCCACATATTAAACAATAACGCAATTGACCAAATCTGGGGCATAACACGCACAATATCACAATATTTTTTGTGATAACGGCTGTAAGTATCGATTCACGAACGCGTAGCTTAGGGCCGGAATGACAATAAGAATGTTTTAATTAGCAGAAAAAAATTATTTCAAGTGAAAATAACAAAATAAAGGATAATTATATTAATAAATAGTTGAATACAGCCGAAACCCCTAATTTCTGAACGACTGGGCCATATTTTTTAAAATTTATTATTAGGGGGCTTCGCCCCCTGCTCGCCTCGCCCACCCCAGGGGGGCTTAGCTCCCCCGCTTGCTTCGTTCGCTCCCCCCCCAGTCTTCTTGGGTATGTTTAGATGTTCGTATTATATGTAAAAAAAATTGATAGAATGATTTACCTCCTTTGAAAAATTGAGATTTTTATTATTTCCAAAGGGCTCCAACCAATGCCTTTTGTGGTGAGACTCGACAAAAGGCGTTCATTTTCGCTTCCGAATGGAAGCATTGTAATCGTTCGATTTTAAGTTTCCAATTTTTTGTGCTAGGGTGACTAAGTTTGGTCCCAGGAGTCCGAATATGCTATTTTTAGAAGGTGTCTGTATGTGCGTATGTATCGATGTATGTATGCATGTGTGTGACATTTTGTTTTACGTTTTTCTCCATAACCGATCGATGGAATTCCATAATTTTTTTTCTAAATGTAGGCTTTGATAAGCGCTTTCGATTGACCCCACCCAGAATTCAATCGACCGTATAGTTTCCGAGATATTTACATTTTTCGAAATTTCATTTTTCGACGATCACCCGGGAAATAATCATTTAAATCGATTCAATGAGGGCTCAAAAAATTCGCATTGATAGTATGTTGACCGAGTTCGAAGATGGTGGCAATAGCATTATTCACTCTTGAGTTATAGCCTTGTTTTGTATGTATGTTATTAGTTAGAGTTTAATCGGATTTAGTGGGAGTTTACTTGGGGTCTAGTCGGAGTTTAGTTGGGGTTTAGTCGGGATTTAGTCGGGATTTAGTCAGAATTTAGTCGAGATTTAGTTGGGATTTTGTCAGAGTTTAGTTGGGGTTCAGTAGGGGTTTAGTCAGGGTTTAATCAGGGTTCAATCTGGGTTCAATCTGGGTTCAATCTGAGTTGAGTTATAGTTTCGCTGGGGTTTAGTCCAGCTTTAGTCGGGGTTCAGTCGAAGTTAAGTCGAAGTTCGTCGAAATTTATTTGGAGTTTAGTTCCGGTTGATGAAGGTTTAGTTGGAGTTGAGTTAAGGTTACTACAGAATTTAGTTGGAGTCAAGTCAAGGTTGAGTTGGAGTTAGTTGAGGGTTAATTCAGCTTCAATTGAGATTCATGAGCTTAGTTCCACCGGGAGCTAGATGAGAGGAGAGGTGGACTAAACATCGACTAAAACTGCAGTGGAAACGAGAAAGACTTTGATTTTTTCCATTTCCATCGCAGTTTTAGTCGCTGTTAAGTCCAACTTTTCTTTCATCCAGCTCCCGGTGGAGCAAGGCTCAATGTAAGTCTAAATGGAGGTTCAATTATTGTTTAATTGGGGTTTCATGGGGGATTAAATCATGAGAATAAGTATAGAAATAATTTTTAAGAATTATAATTGTAATGAATTTAGAATTTTAATTCTAACTAGGAGGCAACCGAAACATACAACAGTTGTCATTAAGAAAATCATGAAGGAAATGTTGAAACTGAGAATCATATCCATTCGGAAGCATATTGCTAATTTATTAGCAAAAAAAACTATACAAAAAAAAATATCCCACTTGTTTCATTTAGTTACATAGAATAGTACGGGGTATACTCTTATTATTTTTTAAGGATTTGACTAGCATAGAATGTGATCCCTACATTTTATTTATGGAATATTCAATGCAAGTTGAAATCGTCCGGAAACTAACCCTCGTCCAGAAATTGACCTGTTTACCCTAGAATAATAATAATAAAATAGTTGGAGAGTATAAAATAAAATCAAAATGAGCGAGATGTATTTTGTTATTGGGGTTTTCATGTTGTTTGAATTCGTGGGAGAGACCGTAGCATTCATGAGGCGCTGTCAATGAAACTTCCCCACAACGGTACTTTCAGTCATTTGTCATGTTCTTCCAATGAATCCGGGGCCTCTTATTGAAAAGTTTACCGCCATCAAAGGAATACCTATAACGAAATATTTGGGTACACTTTTCTACAGTTTTGCTTATTATTTTACGTTCCCCAGTTAATCCGTGGCCGTTATGTAGTTTATTGGACGTTCGATAATTCATTCGGGATTTTTCCTCTCTTTTCGTTTATTGCGATAATCCTTTACGAGATCCCCCACACGGAGAGAAATATTCACTTGTAATACCACAAGAGCTTCAAAATTATCGGGTATTTTCCGATAGCTTCGTTGCAAACAAACGAAGGAGTCAAGTTTTTCAGGTTAAAAAATCACGAATGCGAAGCACGAGTGATTTTTCCTGAAAAACTTGACGACTTCATTTGTATGCAGGCAACCTTGAGGAAAATGCCCGATTAATTTTGAAGCTCGTGTGGTATTCGGGGGATTATTTTGCCAATCCAAATGTCGGGCAATATAATTGGACCATGAGACGAAACTCACAATTGAGAAACGAAAATTGTATAATTAACGCAACGACACAATTGAATTCAATCTGTCAGTTTGACGAGGGGTTAATTCAACTGCATGATGTTTTGTTTTTTTTTATATAGCAATTACCAGAGAAAATTATCAAAAAATTATCAGTTGAAAACTCTGTAGCTTGTACCACGTGATGTCGAATGGGCCAATTATATTGCCCGATATTTGGGTTGAAAAAATAATCAGTAGTAATACCTCAAGAGCTTCAAAATTATCGGGTATTACCCGATAGCTTCGTTGCAAACAAATGAGGGTGTCAGTTTTGCAGGTTAAACAATTTTTCTGCAAAGTTTGGTACGATGGTTTGTTTGCAGGGGAGCTTGAGAGAAATATCCGATTAATTTTCATTAAGCAGAATGCAGTGGACAACATCAGGAGGTGAATTGGGGAAGATTTGAAGAAATTATGTTAATAGAATAACCCGATTTCCATAGACTGTCAAATATAAGATTCTATCTGAAATGAGCCGAAGAGATAAAGAGCTACTGCGAAATATTCAAAAGCTAGGAGGAAATATCCGAAATAAAACTGTCGGGTAGCCTCACATACTGCGCTCTGATTGGTCGAAATCCGATTGGGAAAAATAATCAGTAAAAATTACGGAACAATTCACGTAATCCGCAATGGGGAATCGTTTTCCGGCAATTTTTATAGGAATGCAAGAGCGAACAAATCTGAAACAGTGACTTTTCAGGTTCATCATCGAACAAAGTACGAAATTGTCACGTAATTTTCCCCGAAGCAGTAAAATCTTATAGAAATTTTCCAACTCATTAAGCCGCCAAAATAAAAAATTCTTGAACGTTCAACAATTTTTTATGAAGTCGGCGAGTTATTTCTACGTTATAGAGCTGCAGGACACCCTCGATTTTCAGACATGTACTGACCACTCGCGTTCTAATGCGTAATTCGTATTTTAAACAATAAAATATTATTACTAAACGTCAAGTAAACAATTTTCAATTAATGTTAGGCATTGGAATGATTTATTATTAACAAGTAAATTGTTCAAATCGCCCTAGCACCCAAACTATGAAGTATAGACGAAAATTTTCAAATCATGAATCATCTAGAATTTAATAAGGAATCATTTTTGTCAATTATCAATTTTACCTATCTGTCGTAGATTCTGAGATACGAGCAATAAACTAGTTACGCGACCCGACACAGCGCCCTATACTTGTGGTGCGCGGTGGGCTTGAGAGGGCTGTGTTGAGTCACGCAACTCTTTTCTTGTTCATATTTCGAAATATAAAGGAGATACGTGAAATTGACAAAAAACAAAAATTACTCCTTATCAAATTCTAAATGATTCGTGATTCGAAAATTTTCGTATATCTTTTATAGTTTGGGCGCTAGGGTGATTTGAACAATTAAATTGTTGATAATAAACAGTTGCAATGCCTAAAATTTATTGGTAATTATTTACTTGACGTTCTGTGATCATAGTTCATTGTTCAAAAAAATAATTACGCATTAGAACGCGAGTGGTCAGTCGGCCAATTTAGAAGCGCTTTTTTGGGGGTGTCCCGCAGCTCTATTAGGTTCCGTAAAATTTCTCAATCGTTGGGGAAAAATTACGGAACGACTCGTTGTCCCCATAGCGGTGAGTCATCAGACGGGTGGTTAATTTTTACGGAACAAATCGTAGAATTAACGTGACGATTCGTACAATTTCAGTTCCGACTCACATTTTTTATTGAATTTCACTTCGCTCGCGGATTACGTTTCGAAACGTAATTTTTACGTTTTTTTCTGATAATTTCTATTGAATTTAGAAAGGCTCTAAGTCCTCGCCAAAAAAGAACGGTCGCGACTGGATACCCCCACTCTCTCGCAATTACATCCGACTCAACGTCCCCCACCCCTCAGATCCAAGATCATTCTTTCCTGGTGCCGACGATATCTGAGACACGGGGCCTCTTTACCTGAAATTTACGCACGGCAACCCCCCGCCCAGTTATCCTCATTAACTACCGCCGTCCAGATGACTTTTCGTTTTCTTGCAAATGATTCGTTGAACCCCCTCTGCCCCTAAAATTGGTGACACTTCATGAATGCCCGATCGACCTGAGAGTTGAAGACGAAATAGGAATTGTCCAAGTGTCAAGTCGGAAGGATCGGAGCGAAGGATTATCAGTGCAATAGAAAATTATTTATCAAGAATCATAAGTTTGAGAACGCTTAAATTGTGAAATATTATCAATTGGTGAAATTGTAAATAACAAAAACCCGAGTGATATTTTTTCCAAAGTTCACGTAATATAGACTTTTGTGTGACCCAAATGTGTACTTTGACTCATTTCAAATATCCCACACTCAGTGAGCAGAGTGTACTTCAACACTCCACGGGCAAACCGAAACGGTTCTCTGAACTAAAATATAGGGAACCCAAAATTGTACACAACATCCCTAGACACGACGCGCGACACGTGGAGTCCCTAGGGACGCCACATTGACTTACCATCAGCCGGTGAAATTAAAATCACTGAAATTTTCGGAAATATTCAATTTTTCGTATTAAAATAATTCTAAAAATAGTCTTGTAAGGGTGTACGAGGGTAGATACGAGTATTTCCCAAGCGCATTATGTGGAAATGTCCAGTTCAAGCTAAACAGCCAACTTCATACCCCAAGATTTTTCCGAGTACTTGCCATATCTCGAAACACAAGCACTCTATGGTCACTGGACGAATGAATTGAGCAGCCATTTTTAAACTGCTTACCTGCTTTTAAGCCTCCCTCCTACTACAGTACTACAAGAATAAGGGAGTGATAGAGAAAAGAAGAGAACATGGACGATGAATTAAAAATTTCAACGATAACTTGATGGTTACTAAGTCACCAGCTGGCTGTGGATATGTGCTTATAGTATTGTGAAAAAAATATATACACATATATTTAATTATTTTTGAAGAATAAAGTGTCGACGAGGAGAGAGAAGAGCAAAGGGTGGTAGTTGGTATTAGAGGTAAACCAGTGTAAGAGAAGACAGAGAGGAACTAATAAACGTGCATACAAATAGAGAGAGAACGGTATATAAGGTTAAAGTGAGGAAGGGACAAGTGAAGATTTGATAAAATGACATGGTGAACTGTCATCACTGGTGAAATCATTAATGTATTATATTAAAATGACGGGATAGGACATGATATTTTTCCGAACCTCAAAATCGTAGCTAATGGTCAACGTCTCAGAAGCCAAGAGTGTAAAAATTAATATCCCCCTAATAACAAGTTAATTGACTTGAGATGAATTAAATAAAAGAGGCTATACACACATATATAGATCCATCTATCAGTACCAATCGACAAGGAAGAGAAGAATAAAAACGAATCACAACGATGTCACTACTAATGTGCAAAAGATAGAAGGAAGAAAGAAAGATAGTGAGAAAAGAGCGCACACAATTGTAATGAATTTTCATTACGAATGTTGAAGATTTTGTATGATTCAAGGGGTGGGTGGCTTGTTGAATAATGGCAGACAATGTGCACAGAAAAGCGCACAAGACAACGGATGGCAGTAAAAAATTATCAACTCCAGTTAATCGTACAACATCTGAAACAATAAGAATTGGTGGTAGTATCACTGACAATGACAAAAATCAAATGGTATTGGGTCAAACTGGTCAATTGGGTCAACACTGTATAACATCATCTGGTAATAATTTAACATCAACGCCAAATAATAATCAATGTAGAAAGAAAACATCGTCATTTCAAATAACAAGTGTTACGGTTGGAAGTCGTATGAGCAATGATGCAGGTGAAGATTCCAACGATGATTTGGATGAGTCACACGGTGAGGACAATTCTGTTGAACATTCGAGAATTGAAAACACCGATATTGAGACTCCAAGCTACTCAGAGGATACATTCTCCAAGGATGATGTTTTCTTTAATGCAAGCAATGCTGCATTGAGCACAGCACCAGTTATACCAACATCCTCTCAATACGGTTTAGCAATAGTACCATCGGATCCAAGTGGTAATGTCAGTAATTCAAGTAATGACAGTAATATCAATGCCCTCGAATTAGCATCAGTCACTGACAACAATATCATCAATTTACTATCGAGTAATACTAAACAAGATACAGACGGTGTATCAATACGTGACGGTGTATCACACGGTAGAAATGAGCGATTCAAAGTTGTTAAAATTGAAAGTACTGAGCCATTCAAGAGAGGTAGATGGACTTGTATGGATTACTTAGATCATACATCTGTTAATAATCAAACAAATGCTATTAATACTGGAAAGACAACTGATCCGAATCAAGTATGTATATCGTACGGTGTCAACGATGGAGTTATATTACCATTGAATACAACATCGACGAATGACGATAGAACTGTTGCAGTTGACATGAATGGCCATGCTACCCATCAAGATATGCACGGTTCAATTGGTATTTCGAACAATCAAACCGGTGGTTACACTGTCGCTAGTAATTCACTCCAGTCACAGAATTGCCAGCGTAATCCAGCGACATCCGGTATCACACTATCACAACAGCCCTATTTCCATTCATCAACACAGCAACAGCAGCAAGGAGCTCAACAACAGCCTCCTCCACCATCCCAAGGCTCGACATTGCCCTCTAATTTACAACCAACACATGCTAACAATTTGGGACAACCACAGAGTATGCCCCAGGGCTCTATTCCCATTATAACACAGGCTAATAACAACAATGTGGCTTCACAACAAAATATAAGCCATCCCAACGAGGAGACCTACGTCAATGTCGCATCGCAGAATCAACCATTGCCAGGTGCATCGAATCAACCCAATATTATGGTTCAGAATCAGGGACCAACGCAGTCTGCTAATCAGTCGCAGTCCCAGACGACCCAGGCACAGCACCAAATCAATGATTCGATAGCTACAATTCAAAGAATTCAAGGAATGCAAAAAATACATCAGGTTCCTCAGTCTGGTGGACAACATGCTGCGACTGCAGCAGCACCACAACAACAATCGACAGCAACAACAACAGCTCCAGGTGCTAGTAATGCCAATAATGCTGGTGTCAATCCTCAAGCGACTGCTAATTGTCAAAATGCCCTTGGGACAATGAGTTTCCATCAGGAGGGCACGGAGCAGGACTCTGTGTCGGGAATTGCTGATGCTGCCTTGCTGGAATGTCTCGCTGAAGTAACACAATCGACTGATGACCACCAAACCCTCGAAGAAAATGAAAGGTTTGATTTCATTCGCCTCTTTTAACACAGGTTCATCAGTTGACTTGTGGAATAAATTTTTCAATGTTTGGATGTTTGTGTTTGCAGTATGTCGGGAACAGGTGCCGTTGCCATTGATAACAAAATTGAACAGGCTATGGTAAGATTATCCAGGTCCTCTTCATCGATAAAACAACCAAGTCCAATTATAAAATTATATGTTTTTGTTATTTATAGGACTTGGTTAAAAGTCATCTGATGTTTGCGGTTAGAGAGGAGGTGGAGGTATTGAAGGAAAAAATAGCTGAGCTTATGGATCGCATAAATCAGCTTGAGGCTGAAAATTCGATTCTGAAGGCGCACGCGACTGCTGAGACCCTGGCGCAGTTGAATCAATCGTCAAATAAATTACCCCAAAATAATTCAACAAGTGGTCAATAAGGGGAGTAATGTCAAATCAGATGGAAAAAACATGAAAGAAAAAAAAACATTGTAAATAAGTTTATATTAAATAATTAATCATAATAATGAATAATATAATTATTGTATATAACTTTACGATTTTTAGAAATTTATAAATAATGAGATTTATTATATTATTATACATATTAGTATTAGCAGAAAAATAAGTAAAAAAAAAAGATGAAACATAAATTAAAGCCAGAGCTTTTTAAATCTTTTTTTCACGTGAATCAATAGTGATACATTATTTTCTACGGTTTCAGTTTATTCCTATACGAGAACATATATTTATTATTTGTGAAGTCGGAACATTTTATTTCTAAGGAAAAACTTACAAACAGCTGAGAATGAAGTGGATGAAGAAATTTGGAAAAGAATTAATCATCCAACTACTGAAACGGAGGGGGGGGGGGGAGGATGAAATATGGAAATGATATTTCAACTTGTATTTCTGTATGAAAATTTCTTCAATACTAAAAAATATGCCTATTCTGTCGAGAGGAGAAAATAATCTCTAAAAATATCCAGTGAGACGAGTAAGCAACAACACTGTCAGTCATTTTCTTTGAATTTATCACCAAAAATCCAGTTGTGAATCTCGAGCCACAATAATGACGTTATTCTATGAATTACAAGCTATTATTAATACGGAAAAAATACATAATAGAGAGGAATTATACGTCATTATTTTTCCATTACTTCAATGTCTTCGGGAAATTTGATAAATTGCTGTGGTATTATTTCCATTTGAGAACTGAAGTATCGACAACATCATATGCGTGACCCGTTCCTGTAAATGGCGCATTACAGAAAAAGAAGATCCATTTTAAAAATCTACAAATTTTCAGTCTGCATCTTATTTTACATCTGATGATATACATGCCTAATAAATTTTGTTTTTCATTGTATCACGCGTTTAAATTTCATCATTGACCCACCACTACCTAAAAATTGATTAAAAAGGCTTATGGATTTTTATAATAACAGTACAAAAAGAAAATCATACTCTTGGTCGTTTACTATTTCTCTATTCTCAAGTTGTGGAATTTTGGGATTGGGAGCACGTGATAATTCGTCATTCCATTAATTTCTTCGAGAATGAAGTTATTACGGATACTATTATGATACATAATTTCGATATATGTATATCTAAGAAAGCATACATTTTTCTTTCGATTTTTCATTTAAAAGTTGTGTTTGCAATTAATATCAATTGATTTTCAATTCATTTGTTAAATTTAGTTTTATTTATCCACGATTTCATTTCGGGTACTATAAGAGCTAAATATGACACTTTAACACAAAAACCTTATTACAATTGAAGACCACTTCATTTAAAAAGGAAAAAAAATCATAATTACACCATATAAATTTATAAATGTTATAAATTTGCTTTTTTAAATATTTTTTTCATTTTGTTTTTTTTTATGTAGGAAGGAAAAAGAAAAATAACAACATACAACTTTTCATTTCATTCCTTATATATCAATTACGGATAAATCAGCAACCACCACGTGCATGCACGATCGGTCTCAAAGAGGGGCATGGGGGGAGTTGGGACTGAAGAGGGGTCGAGGAGACGTAATTGAATGATGGTGGGCTGTGAGGGGATGAAACTTCGAGCATACACGTGTTAGTCAAGTTGACACTTCATACGAATCCAAAGTTCTTAGTTTTTATAGCAAGTAGTATCTTGTGACGAAGTACGTGGCGTGAACTGTACAATGGAACGTAGAGACGTGAGATGCACGTGTTTGCCGTTGGTAAATGCGCGTCGTCGGCCGGTCTGATAGTGACACTTGGCATTGGTTGAAAACCATCCTCGCTAGCAGGTAGAGCTGGCGAGCCTGTCCAGAAGTAAACCTGAAATAATACACACAATGCAATTAATAATTTGAATTGGTACAGCGAAGTATACTAGAAGTGTAATGTAAATCAGTAGCGAAGTGAGAAAACGGTTCAAGTCAATTTTGACTAGTGACCAGTTTTCAATGAATATCTCGGAATCTAAGGGAGATGGCAAAATTTTTGTTGTAAACGTGTTTGGAACGCAACTAAAATTCCAGAACATTCTGGTCGACTAGCTTGGCCTACTTGGAAAATCTCCGGGACCCTTCGGGTCATCAGTCATAAGTGACCGAAACACGCGCCAATCAGTTTAGGCTTAGCCTCTCACCGTATAAGTCTATCTCGAGCAAATCACCTGTAGAAGTCGTATAGTATCGGTACAGTTCCGATCAGTACATCAACTCAGTTCATTTATTCAGTTTTATAAATTCAGTCTAGAGTCAATCAACGCAGTTAAATAATTATCAGTATAAATTCAGTAAATCAACTGATAACTTTCTAGAGACATTCAACCGTGTATAAAGTGTACATATTTTCAGACTTTGGTGGCTGTTGGCCACCAATAAATTGTGATTTTAGAAAACTCAGTATTTTTTCTTTCACGGCTCATCCTACTTTAACTATCCTCTAACACCTCCCACAATCCACCCAATTTACAGATCCTCTCCTCAAACAAAACTTTTTTGTAGAGCCGAGTGAGAGCTACAACAAATATAATTACGAAAATTTCGCTATCCCCCTTAGATTCGGAAATATTTCTCAAAACCTCAACTGGGAGATAAGTCGAGTTAAGCCGTTTTACCACTTTGCTATTGAAATGTAACTACGTATTAGTTGTGATGATATTTGAGATGTACGAGTGTTTTCGCCAATTATTGGTATGGTTTTGTACATTCAAAAATTTAATTTTGTTGGGGCTTCTTATATGTTTTTTTTTTCATTCAAAAGGTCTAAATTTTTTTTTCAAATGTTTTACGCCCATAACGTTAATTTTTTAGTTAAGTGAGTTTTTGACAAAATTTTGCGTTTCAGTACAGGTTAATTTTTTTCGTGTTTTCAATAACTAACTATTTCCGACGAAAATTTTCCGTTCTTTCGATTGAGCATGGTGCCAATTAGCTCGCATCAGAGAAATGCTTTAAAACCGCCAAAAAAAGTAGAAAATTGTGCGTGGTACCCTCTTTCCTCACTTCGATTGGAGATTTTTTTATTTCTTTACTCAAAGTGACTATTTCTACAAAACATTAAAAGTCTGATTAAATTAGACTGGGACTACGATATGTACTATCCAAAAAAAATTTTGCAAATTTCGTTTTTTCAATTTTTTTTAATTTTTCATTTTTTCATTCAACAATTCATTATTTATCGACCATTTATAAACCATAAATAGGTAATTTTTGAATGAAAAAATTAAAAAATGAGAAATTGGAAAAAAAATTTCAAAACGAAATTTGAAAAAAATTATTGTGGATAAAACGGATCTGAGTCCCAGTCTAATTTTTTAATGTTTTGTAAAAGTAGTCATTTTGGGTAAGGAAAGCAAAAAATCTCCAATCGAGGTGGGGGGAAGGGGGTACCGCGCACAATTTGCTATTTTTTTTTTGGGATTTTAAAGGATTTCCGACGATGTGAGCTAATTGGCACCATGCTCAATCGAAAGAACGGAAAATGTCAATCAAAAATACATATTGAAAACCCGAAAAAATTGGCCTTTGACGAGACGCAAAATTTTGTCAAGAACTCAGAAAATTTCAAAATTAACGCTGTGGCCGTAATAAAATTCGAAAAAATTTGGTATCATCTCCTCCAAAACAATCTGGATATTTCACCCATGTCAGTATCTACCACGATAAAATTTTTGATATCTTAAGAAGTAATTATCTAATGAATTCTATGCAATACGTATTCGACGACGAAAAATACTCTTCATCACTTTCAATTTTTGTCTCTCAGTAAAAAGTTGAAAAAAAGTTCTCATTTTGATTTATTGTACTTCAATTAATTCTAAGAAAGTCTGGGTTCCGAAATTGAGAATTTTTGGTTTTTTAAAATAAGAACATTTTCGTTCTTGAATTGAAGATACTCATGCTTTTGAATAATGTTGTTCAATATATATCCCCTGACACCTCGACGGCAATGAAGGTGAATTAATTAATTTTCAATCATTTTAGAATTTTATTCCTTTGAGATATTCTTAGTTTAAGAGCATTCCTCACTTGAAATGAATAGTTTTTGGTACTTATAAGGATTTTTTAAGGTATCAGACCCTTAAAGGCTCATATATGAGTAAAAGCCCGAGGGCTGAAACTATGTAAGATAGCCGTAAGTTAACAATGTATACTCTGCTGCCTTTTTGTATCATTAACGTTAATAAAAATCTTCAAAAGTTAAAAAAAAATTAACTCGATTCGAGAAGCAAAAAACTTGGCTTCTCTATGGAATGTTTTTCTCTCTTAAGGATATGTAAGTAATTCAGGCAATTTTTTCTGGAAGGAATCCTCTTCAGAGCTTATAGAATTGACCAAGAGTATTTTTTAAGCGCAATATTAACTTTACTTTCCGAACATTTTTCCGAGGAAACGATTTTTGAAAACAATAAATTCAACACATTGGGTCCATAAGAGCTGTATACTCCCACCTTCAATCAAATAGTTGATCGTCTTAAAGCGTTTTCTCGTACACATAACCGTATATTACTTTGTTAGTTACACTCTCTAGTTTTTTTTTGCGACATTGAAAAACGTATGTTTCCGGACAGATAATTCAGTAGCGAAGTGGTAAAACGGTACAAGTCAATTTTGACTATCGACCAGTTTTCAATGAATATCTCGGAATCTAAGGGAGATAGCAAAATTTTTGTTATGACCTTTTTTGTAGAGTCGATCGAGAGCTACAACAAATGTGATTACTAAAATTTCGCTATCTTCCTTAGATTCGGAAATATTCATCAAAAACTCAACTAAGAGATAAGTCGACTTAAACCGCTTTACTACTTCGCTACTGAATTGCAAACAATCAAATTAAACGCTTCTTGATTGGTAGGACGGCCATATTGGGTGGTTTTAATCCGCACGTCTGGCAACGGTTCACTCGGGTGACTACTCGGACCGAATTTACGAGTTTATATGGAACACATGTGCAGTGTTGCCGTATGATCATTAGAGGTTAGACCAATGAGAGTCATGTGTGAAATTGAATAAAATAGGGGAGGGTGGGGCAAAATGGAACGGTACAAAAAACGAATATAGAGCGAAATTCAGACAACTTTTTTTTTTACCTTAGGTGAGCTCAAAATGATGATTCGGTGTTAAGTCAGTGACATCAGTCTACTCTGTAATTATCGCTATCTTGTAATATAAGGGAGATAGGAGAATTTTGATAACGACCTTTTTGTAGAGAATTTCAAGGGCTATAAAAAAGGTCATTATCAAAAATTTTGCTATCTTCATTGTAAAAAAGATAATTCAAGGTTAAAAAACTGAAGAAAAATCTGATGTCTGTAAATTCAATTATAGAGTAATAGACGATTATAGATAAATAAATAAGACCTTTGGAATATTATTATTGTTCTATCAATAAATTGAATATTAGAAAAAGGTCCTATAGTTTTTGAAAATCAAAATTCACTATCGTTCCATTTTGCCCCACTCTCCCCTTTTCTTAAATATTAATAGAAACCTGGAATGTTAAGGTAAATGAATTTTTGAATTTCCAATTGATTGAAAATTGAAGAATACACTATATGATTTAGTTTACTAAAGTTTACTAATGTTTTGATTGAAAATTCAGATGAGGTGAGGAATTCTCATCCTTCTGCTCTTCAAAAATGTCGAATTCCAATGAATTTTCATTATTTTTCCCCTGTATCGAAATCAGTCACTGTTTTGAAAATATTTAGACAACTGCTCATGAAATTTCAGTTTTCTTTCAACTATTTAGCCTACTAAAGGAGAGGAAAATGTCACATTTTATCTTAAATCATTCGTTCCGGTGTCATACACTGAGAGAAAAATCGTCATAATATCACAAAACTAATTTCTTGTGCCAAATATTTCATCTCTTGAAGAGAAATTTCTTGGGATAAGAATTTTTTGTACCGTTCCATTTTGCCCCGCCGTTCCTTTTTGCCCCACAGTTCCATTTTGTCCCACCCTCCCCTATTGTTCACAATATTCATCGAAGAATTTCCCGATAAAGTGCATTATTCAGCAATGAGAAATCTGAAAAAGTATGGCTATGGCAAGATTTTGGACAAAACTGAAATCATCCTTGGAAAAAAGTTTCTAATTTGAACGAAATACATGGATATCCTTAAGGAAATCCAAGTATCACAGTTTTGTACAGACTGGACTACAGATTCAACCATTATTAATCATAAAATTTGTCATGTAAATTGCCTGAGAACATTTTGAAAAAAATCATAGATATTCAGCGCCATTAAAATTCCAATTTGCAGAGAATAATTATTTTTATGGCGGAAAATTGATTGTTTATAAATTATTTATGTTGTGGAGAAGATTTCGGCCGAATTTTTAACTTGTAGTTTAGTTTTGGTCTCTGCGGTTCATTAGCTGATTCTACATGAAGGAATTTATTATGTTCAAATGAAAAAAATTGATCCAGTCATTAAAAATGAATTATTTATAGAAAATACTCGCAATTTTTAAAAATTGCAATTTTTGCTTTCGAATGGAAGCACTGTAATCGTTCAAATTTGAGTTTTTGATTTTTTGTGTTATATCGACCCATTATGATCTAAAAATTCCGAAAATACGATGTTTAGAGTGTGTCCGTACGTGTGTGTGTGTGGTATAGTTTTTCTTCAATTGTTCGCTAATGAATGGATGGAATTAAATCTTTTTTTTCAAATGTAGTCTAATACATGAAAAAACAGTCACATGGCTTCTGCCGAATAGGAGTTCTACGTTCCTTATTTTCAAATGTAGGTATTGTTGAGCCCTATCAATCGACAGTAATTAAAATTCGATTCATCGATTTTTTTTTAATAGTTGAATTTTTTTGAAAACCGGTTGTCCCATGATAACTAAAAAAAATGTTTTGAATTGATTGAATGATGGCTTAAAAAATTCTTTTGGATATCCCTTTGACCGAGTTCGAAGATGAAGGCAATAGCAATAATCGTTATTTTGATTTGTTGGAAAATTTTCAAAAATTTTGTATTTTTTGAAAATCATAATTCCGGGAATATCTTTGAATATCATGGTTCAGATGAATTCAATCATAGCTTAAAATGTTTGCTAACGGTTCAATATTAAAATTTAAATTCAGACCTGCAAAGTTTAAATAATAAAATCATTATAAAATGTCCAGCAACTTGGAGTCAAATGGGGTTCAAATGAAAGCGCTGATGTTCGATTATAAAAGTAGAAAATGATTTCACAGGAGAAAAAATAGCCAAAGTACTTGAATATCCTTTAATGGAATGAATATCCTCTAAAAACTCAACTAGAAATTGAGTCAACCTAAATCGTCTTCATCACATCGTTTTGTTAATTGAATTGAATGCTCGTAATTAAATTAAAGATATCTAGCATCATCGTTACTTACCAAGTCTTGACGCTCGAATTGAGTCATTTTCTCGACGATTGACCACAACCACCTCTTGAATTTAACGAGTCTCTCCATAGATTCTCCAGACTCATCATTGAACGATGTATATGATATAAGAACCGAGACATTGATATCCCCAACTCCATTAAGCAACAACCTGAAATCCTCAGACGTTAGGCCGTCAAGTGCACCCTCCGGTAGTACATCGAATACACCTTCTCGCATTGCTTCAAGTGCCTTCTCTTGTGCTTTGATCATCCTGACTTCAGCATATCTTCGTACATAGTCGTAAACATTAGTAGCAGTAACCTCGACGTCACGGCCATTTGGTACAAGTTCAATAGAACCTCCACCCTCCTCAGGACAGAGATCAATACTGAATGTAAGATCGAGAGTTGAGAAGAGACTGTTGCTGTCCTTAGTCTCAGCATCGATGACCAATTGTCGAAGACTCTCATAAATAACAGAATCGAAAAATGCCAAATCGTGGAAACGTATGGGCCTTGATAAAATATATTTAATAACATGGCGATTGAGGAATATAGGGCATAATTCATTTTGTAATAGACAAAGCCCTATAAGTCTTCCAACATTTCTGAATGCGTTCAATCGTTCATAACTTGCTCGTCCCTGTCTTGGTGTATAAAAGCCACGTTTACCAGGTGCATAAAATAATGGGGCGTTGTCCTCAACGTCATCAAGTATTGTATTATCAACAATTTTTTTCTTATTATTACTAGCACATCGTTCAGTTAAACTAAAAACATCAAGATCCAACAGTGCCTCACTCGTGACATCTTGAATATGATTGTGTAACAATTCATAAGCCTCATCGACTTTCTGTTGTAACGCTTCCTCAGACGCCAGAAGCATCAATAACTGCGCTGGTGTCAATTCCAACAGCATTCCAGTTATTTTTTCAGAGAATGCTGGTCTCAATGCATGTACTTTAGGGTACAATCGATCACCAAGATTTTGCTGATGCGTTGTTAAATGTTCATTGTTCGATAGATTATGATTACCGTGACTTCCACCAGCTGGCAGTGTATGATTGCTTGATGAAGATCCACCAGTTGATGAAGCACTGGTGCTGCTACCACCACTACCACTGGCACCATCAGCAAGTGTTGTTGACGGATGGAAAGAGCGAGCCTCAAATGATAATGCTCGTCGTGTCTCTCGGTACTTCGCTGATGCTCGTGGATTTTGCCGGCGAAAATCGCGATCTCGATCTCTTTTCAATTTTTGGAGAACATTGTATTGCGAGTACTTGGAGCCAACCTGGGCTGCTTCGAGATTTGGCAGTTTGTCGTTAGCAAGTAAGGCATTAGCAATAGCAGTATAGAAACTTCTTGCGACACCCGAGCCCTCACCAGGCTCATCTTTGAATGTTACTTTCACTCGATTAACTGCCAATGGTGGGGTATTTGATGCTCGCCTGTTGTAAAGATTGTACTGGGTATTCAATTCTTTCATCGTTTGCACCAGCAATTGTGTACGATCACGCTCAATCTTGGAAAGTGCTATATCTTTCTGCTGTGAATTCCTCAGCTTCTCCATGTCCCGACGAAATTTTGCCTCCTTAACGGGAAAACCCCCCAATTCTGATACGACTGATCCAGCTTCAAGCCCAACGTCTTCCATAAAAACACGACCAAATAGGTCGAGTGACAATCGCCAGCGTCCGAGGAGAATGTTGTGGGATATATTGGATCCAATGGTGCTAACTGGATTTGCCGATAGTCTTGTAGATTCAAGGGGGCTCGTTTCAACTGTCTCATGGGCTGATATCTCTTGACTAGTTGTTGCTGGATCTACTTCATCTGCATTATCTGCCTGGGTCTCAGTCACGGGGACAACCAGTACTTCTGGTGCTTTAGTTTCTGCAGCAGCCCCAGCTCTCACAATAACACTTCTACCAGTTTTCGATAAATCTTTGCAATCACTCTTCACTTGCTTAGATGCCATATCAGTTTGATTACCTGGAGAGACAATAATTGGTGCTCTGTCAATTTGTTCATTCATCATCATGTGATTGTCATTCAGAGGATAGTACAATTTCTGTTTATCTGAGGGTGGAACTTGTCTGCTGCATCCTGGCTCACTGGTGGGACTTCTTCGTGGTATCTCGCTTGATGACGATGAAGCTGTGGCGCTTGCACTCGGACCTTGCTGCATCACTTGACCAAATGTCGCTGAATTATCAGCCGTACGTGTTGAGAGGCCTAATCTAGTTGGGAGTCCTTCGAATGGATTTTGACTTGTTCCCGAACCACCGGCGAGAGCTTGTCTAGGTACACCGAAGAGATCCTCTCGTCTCGAGTGGGGTTGTAGTAAATGCGGTTGATCAGCCAGGGGTAGAGCCTCACTTATATTCGCTTCGAATGGATCCAATGGGGGACATCCTAGACATAGAGTTGAATCTGATCTCTGCAGGAATGGATGCTTTCTACCTCTCCCTGTTCCTGAATTGATGGAATTTCCAGAACCACAAGTTGGTACTTGAAGCAAGTCGGGATAATCCACTGAGTCGGTTTCCATTGCGTTGTTACCGTGGAGAGTATCCTCGTCCCCTTCTTCATTGTCATTTTCATCCTGAAAAATCGGGACATACAAAGGAAATTATTGCTAAAAGTTATAAAATTTTCAGCAAGGAATTTCTTGAGGAAGGAGTCTGGGCAAGAAGACCCGACATTAACCTGATGATGCACTTGATGTGAAAGTCCTCACTATTAGGAAATTAATATTGATGAGTGAAAAAAAAAGAAATAGTTGCTGTTTTATGAGTGTTGAATCTTTGATTAAATTGTGTCGCAACTGAAAGTGTTCTCCTTATTTATTATCTTTGTCAATTGTGCGTAGGGTGAACAGGCCAATTGTTGGACGATTAAGGGAAATTCGATGTTTGAATTAGTAGAAAAAAATTATTTTAAATGAAAATAACAAAACAAAGAATAATTAAGGCCCGGGTGTACTATCTTTCGAACGTTATCTCGAAGTTTTTTTTTCATCTTTCGTCATCTGAAATTGTCAATTAAGTCCTGCATCATGCAGAAGTTTTGAAAAATTATGAATGAATAATAAAAAAAAATAGAAAAAATTTCTAATTTTTTCAAAGAGCATTTTTAATTCATAATCAGAATAAGTTGAATAACAAGAAATTGAAAAATCTATCTGATTTAGGGTGACAAATGGCGACCTGTCACCCAATATCATGCAGGGGGAAGACTGATTTTGTAAATCTTTTCCCATACTGTACAGAGACATTTATTACGGAAAAGGCTCTTTGAAAAAAGTAATATTTTGGAGAATTTTTTAATCACACTTTTATCACATAAAAATGGCAGATGACTACATACCACTGTTTTGAAAATTGTGATACCTAGCTGTCACTTCCCATGAGGAGTTAGTGTTTTGTTATCCACCATGGAAAATGACAGCTAATAGATAATTTGCCACAGCGAATCAGATATTTGTAATTTCCACTTTTTTTAACTCATTTTGAATCTCAATTAAAAACGCTTTTTGAAAAAGTTCAGAATTTTTCCATTTTTTTTTATCATTCTATCATAATTTTTGGGAATTTCTACACGATGTACTACTCAATTGACAATTTTGGATTACGAAAGATAAAAAAAATACAGATAACATTTGAAAGATAGTACACCCGGGCCTTAAATTAAGAAATAGTTGAATGCAGCCGAAACCCCTAATTTGTGGATGACAAGGCCATATTTTTTTATTTACGAGACGGAACGCGCGCTACAGCGCGCTGTAATTTTAATAATCATAATTGAAAATTTCAAAATTAAATTAATCATGAATTAAATTTGCCGCCTTATACGACTGGAATCAATGAGGAATAAGCGTAACAGACTTGCGAGATATCGATAGTTATCGACTNTGAAAGATAGTACACCCGGGCCTTAAATTAAGAAATAGTTGAATGCAGCCGAAACCCCTAATTTGTGGATGACAAGGCCATATTTTTTTATTTACGAGACGGAACGCGCGCTACAGCGCGCTGTAATTTTAATAATCATAATTGAAAATTTCAAAATTAAATTAATCATGAATTAAATTTGCCGCCTTATACGACTGGAATCAATGAGGAATAAGCGTAACAGACTTGCGAGATATCGATAGTTATCGACTTTAAGTGTATGTTCTTTTTAGGATAGGATTAAATGTTACTCAATAGAAAAAATAAGTAATCACATGATTGTGCCCGAGTAATATTATTGAAAGATGAAATAATGAGTACGATTTTCATTTTATTTATGGAATAGTCAATGCAAGTTGAAATCGTCTAGAAATGGACCTGTTTATCCTAGTCAAGCTACAATCATTACAACTGTATCGTGATTTGTCTCCTTCGATAGTTTTAACATTCAAAAGTTCAGAACAGTTACATATAGATCAGTCTGAGTAAAAAATTGTGCACCTTCGAAAATATGAGGCATTAGGAATAAATATTAAGCATAAAGGGTTAAGGAACGAAGTAAAGTAAATTTAACGTGTGATTGACAGTTAAGAAAAGAGAGAATGAGATTCAAGTTTCGCGAATTTCCCTTCAATTCCATTCAACTTCATTGACAGATTCATTTGTTATAATCTGCTCCGTTGACAAGAGAATTCACAACAGCATCTGGAACGGTCTGAAATATTCAACTGTGAAATAAATGTCCATTTGAATGCAAAGAGCTCAGATCATATTACTCGTTATATGCATCATCCTCGACGATTGATATATAGTGTAACTAATAAAATGATAATTGACCTGATCGTTCCACGTAGAATACGAATGCACAGCATTTTCCTTCTGATTATCACAGCGGGATGTGCCCAAAGGTTCGTTGAGAGATCGCATGTAGTAAACAAGGGCGTCGAAAACGTACGCCACATGTCGCAGCGCTGACACATCCAGGACTGGTAGGCTGTCTCTGTGTTCTCCGTTATGAGCTCGCATCAAGGACAAACAGTAGGACAGGAACTCACGTCGGGCCCAGTGTGCATCGCCTCCTTAAACAAATTTACACGATTATTTGGCTATTCCCATTCAGTGTCAAAATTCAGGTCATTGATCGAGACTTAAGGATGAACACTGAAAAATTGTAAATTTCATTCAACCCTAGTTGGTCACCATATGAGAACTTGCGACATTGGTCACCTCCGTAGGGAATCGCCGCCGTGTTATTTAGGCCCGAGCGTTGCCGAATTTACTCTATACTGCCTGGGCGCGTTTAGCGAGACTTCGGCAACGTCGCACAACGGGCAATTTCATTTAGCATTTTTTCCCATGTTAAATGAAATTGCCCGTCTGTTAGAAATAATTTTTTTTCTTCAGGAATTGTGGATATAAATAATTTTAAAAAATATTATAATCTTTTAGACACTTGAATTGACGCATTCCAATTTTGTAGGATTTTTTTGCTCAGCCAGTCAATGGTTAAGAAAATAAAATCGACCTTCTGCGGCATTTCCCTCCTATGGTGACGAAACTAGGGTTAACGGAATTTAGACTATGTCGAATATGCGACATTCCATACCTCTCCACCACGTTGTGCTTGCGAATGGAAGCCTTGTATTTGACCCATTTTCCGACCGATTTTTTCATTTTGATTGAAAATTGTCTAGAATATTATGAAACGTGAAGAAATGATGTTTTTAGGGTGATTTCTGTATGTATATATATGTGATAATTTAGTAGTGAAGTGGTCAAACGGTTTAATTCTATTCTATTCTATTCTAGCGCCAGTTCTCGATGAATATCTTGAATTCTAAAGGAGTTAGCAAAATTTTCCTAAAAATCTTTTTTGTAGAGAAAAGTGAAGACTATCGAAAAAGATCTTACAAAAATTTCGCTATCTTCCTTAAATTCCGAGGTATTCAACAAAGACTCAACTGGGAGCTAAGTCGACTTAAACCGATTGACCACTTCACAACAGAATTTGGGATTTTAATGTTTAATTTATAGAAAATTCAACATAAATACGGTGAAATTTCTAGTCAAAAATTTGAAATTTTGGCCCATTTTAGCTATTATTGAGCTCAACTTTGGCGCGCTGTTTTAGCCCGATCGATCCAGTAGTTCCTAAGATATAACAACTTGTTTAAATTTCGTTTTTCCTCAATATCTCAAAACTAATGCACCAATTTCAATTTTTCTTTTTTCAAAATACTCGTCGCGAGGGCTTCTGAATCAATCGAACCCGTTCATACAAAGTTTTCAAGATATTCCCTTTTTCCGTTTTTTCATAGAAAAACTTTGTCAACACTCTAGCTTATGCAAAAATTGAGATATGAACTTGAAATTTGGACAGAAAATATGTATTATATATCCATTCATACAAAGTATTTGAAAGATTGTAATTTTTATAGCACCCATGGAGGTGGCAGTAAACATCTGAAATTTTTGCTGCTAGTTAGTGTTGTAAAGCTACAAACTTTTATAATATTTCAGATCATTCGGAAGCCCGCCATTAATATATTGATGGCGAAAAAAAAATACGACATCACTCAGTGACATGCTCACTGTCATACGGCGCGCTGTCATATACTCGCTGTCCCCTGCTTGTTTGATCGTCATAATTGACACTGAAAACTCCCATCTTCATTGCAACAAGACCCAGAGACTTTCAAATTTAATAACAATTAGTGGATGATGATAATATTTGTAGAATCATCGCAGTTTGTTGTCGTGTAAATTTCAGATTTCTATTTTTAATACGGAAACAGCTTCAAATGGCTCAAAATTTAAAGATGTATTTTGGGAAAAATTCCACAAGAGTGTGTGTGTGTGTGTGTGCACAAACGATAAGATCTTTCGCAGAGTTCCAAATAGATGAGTACGATTTTGCACGTCATTACTATTAGTTGTTTCATCTTGGGGAGTGGCTTGGTTTCTAGGTTGTTATTATACATTCAAAGTTCATCTTGTGCTTTTGGACAAACGGAGTCGAATATCCAATGTAACGTATCATTTTTGAGACAGAAATTTCATGATCACGAAGTTATTCTTTTCGGAGTATTTAGAAACGGTGGCCGGAGCTTTTTTTCCCCGTTGAAAAATTCCCGGAATGTTTTCCCCGTAAATTTTTCGGCGAATTGTTCTCATTGATATCAATTTTCCTTACGAATTTTTTTAATGTGGGATTTTGTTTGGAGTTTTTCTTCAGAAAATGCTAATTGATTTTTTTTCTTTCTCTTAGAAGAAGAAAAATGAAAAAATTAGTAACACAAATCGTTTTTTTTTTCATTTGCGATTGTTTAGTCAATTCATTGTTTAGCGATCAATGTTGATATGTAAATTTTAAATTTACATTCAATTTTTTGTATGTTGTTGATTATACTGAAAATTAATAATTTTAGTGTGTTGGAATGTTAGTGATTTTGTCTGGCTGTAGATGTTCTATTTGAAGAATTAAATCCAATTTTGCCGAAAGGGTGCGTGTAAATTATTCATGGTGTTCAGAAATTGTCGACTTCAAGAAAATCATGGATATTGCATTAAATAAAGATGAATTGATATTGTGTTCGAATATGGGTCTGATTTCATACTTTCCAAGGAAATTTTACATAGTTTTTTTGGAGACACAGAAACTTTTCTGGAGAAAATTTTTTCGATGGAAAAATTTTGCGGGGTATTTTTCACGGGGAAAAAATCCGGGAGCTTTTAGAAACAACGTTTACATTTTCATGAACGTTAGCTCAAGAAATTCGTTGAATTAACACTACTGATTCCTTTAAAAATATCGAAATGACTAATGTTATCGGTGGACCTTTCATTGCGTTTACACGAATCGATTTTCTCCAATGAATTATTCATCCAATGTGTGAACATGTGAGGAAAAGGGGCAAAATATTCATGTTCACGTCCGCAAGAGGCAATTCAATTACGCTGTCCTCGCAAGTGAAATCTCACCATTAAAAGAGATGACCGGGAGACGGGCCTTCCCGAAGCAGTGTATAATTGCCTATTTAGTTATTCATTTTGTTTTTCTTCAATCAAGATCTGACCATACAATTAACGATAGTATCTTTATTTACTGGACCTCGATAAAGTAATTTAGTAGACCGGATACCTTGACTGCGGCACAGATGAAGTGAAAAAGAATACACTCTGAACTGAGAGATAAAAAAACATGTTTGCAAATGAAATCCGTTTGAGCGAAGCAAACCGCAAATTGAAAATTATGAAGAATAAAAAATTCAGTGCTGAACATTTGAAGTGTTCTAAAATCAAAAATTTTTGTCAGAAAAATACATTTTGCTGTTTTAAAAATATGTTATTGCACTAATTATCCATTACTCTATAGTACCATATGTATTTTGAGTTAAATATTTCGTTATTGAATGCAGAGCGATTATTCACGTTTGAAAAATTCGTATGTTTAATGGAATAATTTCTATCTGTTATTTTTAACTTGTGATTTTTGTGGGTCCAGCAAGACTTGTTCGAGAACATGTCGATTTTGTTTTCATTGTCAGTGTAGAAAGGGAATGAGATTAGAATATTTCATGAGTTCTTAGCTTCCAGGGCCCAAATGAAATTTGAAAGTCTTCGATTGAGGAACATAACTATCGAACGACTTTTGATATATCAGGAGGTACCTAAAATACTAAGAAAAATTGCGTACCGAACCCATTTTATCCCGCACGTCAGACAAAAACGTCGTTTTTTGGGTTTTTGGCTTTGGTTTTTTCAGTTAATTCATTTTTTCGGTTTATTCATTTTTTTCCTGCTTCCATACCATATAAAAATTATTATACGTGCACATTTTTGAGGTTAACAAAAATCTTTGTCACTTTGTCACAATTCGATCGCGGTTTTCGGGCCCAACGACATAAAATATTGTATGTCACACGGCAATAAAAGCATTATCTGGCGAATGTGATTATAATCCTCGCCTTGGGCTCGGATTATAAACCCACATTCGCCAGATAATACTTTTATCGCCTTATGACATAAGATACTATTAGTTGACAAAACTGGAAAAATTTAATTTTTGTTTCTATGATCTAATCGAGATAATCGAAAAGATATCTAGTTTTATTCTGTGGAATCTAACGAACATTTTGAATAAACAAGTTTTAATCGGATGAAAATTGTGGTGCAAGGAGTACTTCATAGCCAAAAACAGGAAAAACAACGTTTTCGTCTGACGTACGGGGTAACAATTTTCTGCCTAAGGGGTTGAGTGCAAAATTTTTCATAGTTTTTTCGACACCCCATGACATATCAAAAGTCGCTCGACAGTTATTTTCATCAACCAAATTTTTTTTTTTTTAACTTCCCGACCCGAAGGGAGGAAGTTATTGTAATGACCCCGAAAATCGAATGCGGAAATTTAAGCATTTCTCCACGTTTCATGACCTTTGGAACCACTTCTGACCCTTTTCAGGTACCTGTCTGTATGTGTGGATGTGTGTATGTGTGTGCACATAAAAATTTTGTGCCACGATTCCTCCTGAACAAACGATGCGATTTGAATTTTTTTTTTTAATCGCTGTATTTTCATGTGACTTGAACCTGATTAGATTATGGAGACGATCGTCTCAGCGTTTCTCCAGTTTTTTCCAAAAAACATTTGGAAAAAAGTCGAAAATTAGCGTTTTTTTGTAAACGAGACCATTTCTCCGTGCATAACGATGCGATTTCAAGTTTTTTTTGTTAGAAACGATGAATCTTGATATAACGCACAAATCATGGAATACTGGAAGACATTTAATCAGCAGTTCACTAGCTTTTTTCGAAATCGATATACATTCAAGAAACAATTTTACTTTTCTGATAAATTACATCTTTTCTCGATGCGGAATACGGCGATGTGTGTGCATGGGAGTGTGTGTGAGTGCGAGCACGCGCACGGATTTTCTTGTCTTCTATGGGTATTTCCTCGGAGAAATGTGAGAAAAAGATTGAATAAATACATAATAAAAAAATTAATGAAAGAAAAAACAAATGGTCGGGAAGTTATTGGTGCGACCCGTAATGGGTCACATCCCTTACGCGAAGCGCGCGACCGGGCCTGATTTTTAATCGTTATTTTACATCGCTTCGACCCAGTTAGGGTATACTGCGATGATGATCAAGACTTTAAATGGTTAGACCGCACCATTCTACCCGGCCGGAATTTGAACTCGGAACCTTTCGCATGTGAGGCAATGAACTGACCCACTGCGCCAAGCCACCGGGGTTCATCAACCAAAGATTGTAAAATTTCATCTGGGTTCCCCCTTAATCGCAATAACTGAGAGTTCTTGCCGATTAGGTTCAAGACTATCTCTCTTTCCAGGTCTTGAACTTTACACTTTTAGAGGGTGAATCTAGTTACTGATTTACTATAGCCGCATAAATTCATCTATTTTTTACAAGATCTATGCGCGCGCTCTCGCGCGCGCTGATCTATTCATTTGTTGAAATGCAGAAATGGAATTCATTGAATTTCATTTTCTCATGAATACCTTATAAATATTGATAATGAATCAAAGAGAATTCGATTAATGATTGCAGTGAATAGCGAAGTAGAGTAAAAGAATCTATAAAGAATTTTTCATTTTCAATTAATTATCTTCAATTTTTTAAAATAATCGGTCTCCATAAAAGGACAGAATTTATTAATTTCACCGATGATATATATACATGTGAAATATATATATATATATATATACATATGACAGAATATATATATATGACGTGAAAAAAAAATTTACCACTGAAGAATTTGAAAATGCCGCGTGTTTTTTTTGTGAATAACTTCGTGTCACATATTGACCAATCAGAATTAAGGATTAGCGGTCAGGCAGTTTCGAGATATTTCGATACAAAACAACTTCACATTTCTTTCATCTTAAGTAAAATAGGATAAATGTAGATGAGAAGTCAGGAAAAAGCTAAAAAAAATACCTTCACGCTCTCTTGTATTCCTAGGAGCCTCGCCAACTCCTGTAAAGCCAACCGAGAGCCTCGTCGAGCCTTGAGTCGTTGTTATATTGGAGGCGGAGGTAATACCACTGCGTTGATTTCGACCTGTGTTTCCCTGTAATGTTAGTGACAAAGCCGCAGAGTTGAGTAACCCATTAAAGTTACCACCTGATACTGAGGATGCATTGTTGAGTGGATGCTCTGGATGAGTCGGATCAGCACTTTGAGTTAGCGATACGCCAAAACGTAATTGAGCCTCAGTTGCGTCCATCACTACCATGAGCCAGTCCCAGGTTGGCTTTAAATGCCCCTCAAGATACATCTGTGAGGACAAGAATAAGAATGTGCTTGGAATGAATTATGTATGTTACGTCGGTATAATAATAATTATTGTCTACACCTAGATTCCAGTTCAATGGGGAGGACACCTGTACTATTTAGTGCAATGATCCTTTTCCCATTGCAGATAAAATAAAAGTTTCTAGTTTCCGGAATTAAGTTGTTGATTTTAACGAACTCAGGGTTCTAGAAGGCATTGACCTGAGAATCACAAACGAGTTACTTCGTTTCAGAAGAAAAATCTCTAAAATTCAGTACCAAAGACTTATTTCAACACTGAGAAAAAAAATTATTTTTGCCTAATGTCCATTTACTTGAGAGAAGTATTTATTTTTTCAATATCGTATTTCTGCAGCCAAATTCGTTCCAGACAATTCTCATTGAGTTTCAATTATGACAATTATATTACTTTAGAAGATGATCATGTTAGTATGACCTTCAGTGAACGCCCTCAGAATAATGATAATGTATATATTACTCCTATCTGCTCTACAGAAAGCATTCCTCAATATTAATTAAAAAAGCTCTTTCAAAATGTTCAGAATGTTTTTTTACTTTTTTTTCAATCTAAATTCAGAATTTTCGGATGTCCTTGAGGGACGGAGCACCGAACTTAAATTTCGATATAAAAATCAAACAACAAAATCAATTTAGATAACGTTAGGCAGATAATGGAGCCGGGCCTTAAATGATCATTGATTGAACATGAAATGAGTCAAGATGTCAGGTAATATACTCCGAATAACAAAAGAGTTATAAGTATAGACAGATTACTTTGTGAATAGGAAGAACTAGATCTGTGCGCGCGCTTATAGTTTTGTTGTGAAAATGAAGAAATCGAATTTATTGAACTTCATATACTCATAGATGTTTTATAAATATTGATAATGACTTAAAGAGAATTAAGATAATGAAGGGAATGAAGAGTGAAACATCAATGAATAATTTTTAATTTTCGATTAATTCTTTTTTTTTACTTTTTAAAATAATCTGTTTAATATCTGTAATTGTTGAAAAATGAGGGGAGGGTTATTAATTGATTTCCTAGAAAACTGAAAAAATGTCTTGAATTCTTCGGAAAATTTCAGTTTTCCAGATAATCGTAGATCTTCAAAGATTTTTCCCGAATTATTTGAGAAACCGAAGAATTTTCATGAATTTTGTAGAGTTTAGAATTTACGTATGAAAATATGAGAAGCAAGAATTGATCATTTTTGCGTATAATAAATATGAAAAAATTTAAATTTGGGAAGTGAAGAATAATTTGTGAGTTGAAAAAATTTAGAAATACTGTTTTTTTTCTCATGATCAACAATTAGGCAATTTAGATATGTTTTGATATGAGGAAAAACTTCACCCATGAAAAAATGAAAAATATGACGCAGAACAAATCTTTGACATTTGAAGAATTTGACAATACCGAGGATTTTTTTCAGCAACGATTTCCCGCGACTCATTGACCAATCAGAATTGAGGATTAGCGGTCAGGCAGTTTCGAGATATTTCGATATAAAACAACTTCGCGTTTCTTTCATCTTTAGTAAATAGGATTAAGAATTAGAGAACGAGAATGTTCTTAATTTGAGATTTCGCATGTTCTGGATCAAAAAATGCCAAAGTTACCATTTTAAGAATCCAAAAGTCTTCAATTCCAGAAATAAGATTTCCTTAAAATGAGTAAAAAATTTCACATAGTTTGTGCTCGATAGACTTTAGAACGATAGAGTTTTAAAATTGAGAAATTTTACAGAGAACTGGAATCCTTTTTTTCGATGTAACTTTAATTAAAATGTTAGCCAATGAGGAAGCGAATACAAAAATTCATCATTCTTTTGTTATGCATCATCGCTTACAACTACTTATTATGTACCAAAATGTAGAATTTTATCATGTTAAATTGAATGAAATGATGATTCAACGAAATAAAGAACATTATTTCAACCAAGAATATTCAAAAATCAAATATTCCGAAAAGTCTAGTGGAAAAACGCAAGTATAATGTCTTTATTTTTTACAAACATCTGTAATTTCAAGTGAGTTTTTACTCATTTATTTCTATTCAGTCACCCTCGACAGTTATTCTAATTGCGAATCGACAAACATGTCCACATGAAAATGACCATAGCATCCCATTTTCCTTTTTCCCCCTCTGGGTCTCTTTGACTTTGCTGTTTTATTTTCTTTTCAATTAAGGCCCGGGTGTACTACCTTTCGAATGTTATCTCGATTGTTTTTATCTTTCGTAATCGAAAATTGTCAATTGAGTGGTACATCATGTAGAAATTCCCAAAAATTATGATAGAATGATTTTAAAAAAATAGAAAAAATTCTGAACTTTTGTCAAAGAGCGTTTTTAAGTGAGATTCAGAATGAGTTGAAAAAAGTGGAAATTACAAATATCTGATTCACTGTGGCAAATTATCTATTAGCTGTCATTGTCCATAGTGGATAACAAAATACTAACTCCCCATGGGAAGTGACAGCTAGGTATCTTAATTTTCAAAACAGTGGTATGTAGTCATCTGCCATTTTTGTGATAAAAGTGTGATTAAAAAATTTTCCAAAATATTACAACTTTTTTCAAAGAGCCTTTTCCGTAATAAATGTCTCTGTGCAGTGTGAGAAAAGATTTACGAAATCAGTCTTCCCCCTGCATGATATTGGCTGACAGGCCGCCATTTGTCACCGTAAATCAGATATATTTTTCAATTTCGTATTATTCAACTTATTCTGAATATAAATTAAAAATGCTCTTTGAAAAAATTAAGAATTTTTTCTACTTTTTTTTTATTATTCATTCATAATTTTTCAAAAACTTCTGCATGATGCAGAACTTAATTGACAATTTCAGATGACGAAAGATGAAAAAAAACATCGAGATAACGTTCGAAAGATAGTACACCCGGGCCTTAATGCATTGACAAAATCTTCTCCCGTCAAAACTTCGCAAAAGAATGGAAAATTATTGATCTCATCAGTCCTCCCAATAATAAAAAAAGAATTAATAAAAAAAAAAGTTGATAAAAAAAAATTTAGTTTTGCTTGAATTGCGTCAAACAATCGTTTTTTGCGTGTTTCATTTTGCCCCACTCTCCCCTATAAATTAGCATAGTTCATCCATGATCGATATGAGAAAATCAATTGATTTAATTGAGGAACACTTTAAGGACGTATTGTCCCTTTTCAACAAAATTTGACTTTTTTTTAAAGATTTCTGGTAAACTGTTGGTCGATTTGTGTAACCATGTTTTTTAGTTTTTCCCAAATTTTTCAAAAATTCTCAAAACTTTCGAAAAAAGAGAAAAATTATTGCATGGTTATTAAACTTCGTGAGTCATTGAATAACGATAACACGTAAAAACGGTGAATTTTTTGGCGTCAATTTAATCAATAATTGTCTAAAAATTAAAAACAAAGCTTTGAAAATTGCCTGAAAGGAGAAATACATCCTTGCGTAATGGAGATTTTTCGCCATGAGTATTTTCCCTCGTAAGATAAGTCTAATTCATTGTTGAAAGTTTTATAAACAACAATTCAGTAGCAAAGTGGTAAAGTGGTTTAAGTCGACTTATCTCCCAGTTGAGTTTTTGAGTAATATTTCCGAATCTAAAGGAGAGCGAAATTTGTATAATTACATTTGTTGTAGCTCTCAATCGGCTCTACAAAAAAGGTTATAACAAAAATTTGCTATCTCCTTTATATTTCGCGATATTCATTGAAAACTGGTCAATAGTCAAAATTGACTTGTACCGTTTTACCACTTCGCTACTGAATTTAATCCGGTGACTGGTTTCATTGCTGTTACATCTATATGAAAATAAAATAAAAATAAAGTTATTCATTAAAACATTATTACTGTACCTGTAAGCTCGCAGCATCTTGATATGTAACTTCCATGAGTCTCGGTAAAGCAGGTGCATTCATTTTGTAATTAGATATCATCGTCAATAAATCAGCAATCATCCTGATGACAATTCCAAAAGCTCGAGCGAGACAGCTTGCAGTTGTCCCCATAGTGATGGGTTCCTGTGCAGCAGCAACGGCGGAGGTGGCAGTTGATCGTCTCAATGACGAAGGATCAATGAAAATCATATTGCTTCCACCTGAGACTCTGAGTCCAGCAGTACGAGGATTTGATTCACGATTTCTGATTGCCCACTGCATGGACACTGGCGCTAGATTATTTCGATGTAAATGTGCCGAAGATCCACTCCTTCTCTCCAGCTGTTCATCACCAATCGGAAATTCCTCGGTATCTTGTTCATCGGTTTCCCCAGCCTCACTCTCATCATCCTCCTGCTGACTCGATTCACCGGATTCATCCTCAGGGAAGAGCAGAATTGATCCCATACCACCATCAGATCCAGCTGTCGCGCCGGTTTGAACGCTCCTCTGCGCCGAGGCAGCATCCTGATTGCTGTGATTATCATCTGAATCCGATTCTGTTTCTGCCTCAGCAAGGAGATCCAGTTCTGTGTCTGATTCACTTCCAGCAATACCACCGACGCGTTCAACACGCCCAATTCCATTTCTATCAACCTCTCCAAGTGTCACTTGATTCGGGGGTACTTCGTGCTCACTGATATCACCATCCAGATCCATAGGCTCTCCTCCATCTCTGCTGCCATCAATGACAACCCCACTTGGACCGTCAGATCCTTCGTCCATAACAGCACGATCCCCAACATTATTATTGGCTACCACATTAGCCTGAACATGAGCTGCATCGAGCGTTGGATCGAGGCTCTGTGCACTGTGGGGTATCAGTGGTTCGATGGAGAATAGTTCTTCTGAGCCATTTATCACTTCAATCGCTGAACTTGTCAATGTGAAGGGTGCTGTTGGCCTTGCAACGCCCAGTCTCACTGGGGCAATCAACGAGTCAGCAGTTTCACAGAGCTCTTCAACAGCTAATTTAATTAGAGCCCTGAAAACTGTCCGGCATTTAATTAGGGGTGGAGTAGCTTGGGTTGCGCTTCTACGATTTTTCGTAGTGTTTGGTGCCATTTCTATGGTGAATATCACGAAAATCCTTGCGACAGAACGTACGAATCTGCGTGCAACGATGTTAGCTTCCTCTTGACGTCCCGGAATCGAATCATTCTCTAGTTCTCGAATCAGCGTTGTTAATAACGTGTCCAACATTTCAGATGTACTTTTCACTAAGAGTGTGTGAGTGAATTTGTCAAGGAGAGCAGTGCCACTCTGGCGTGATGCTGATGAGAATGCTCCGTCTCCAAAGAGTTGATCTTGCTGAGAGTTATCAGAAACCCCAGACATAATCATACATTGAACTGCAGGCCAGTCATTGAGGAGTCTCACCAGAGCTCTTCTACTGAATCTCGGTGGTTCTAGATCGTGATCTGGCATCTCTGAATCAGCTCCACCTAAACCATCGGAGGATGGTGTCTTCCTGCTGGCTGATGTTGAACGCTGTCTAGGACCTGAACGGAATTGCCTCTGTTCAACCGATTGTCTACCGACAGTTTGAACAAGGAACAGGAGAATACTCTCCCCACGGGAATTAATCTTGGTAGCAAGATCTGTGCTGGTGACAAGCCGACATAGAAGATCATAACGCGCCCCTTGATGTCCAGCAATGAGTGCCTTGCATTTGCACTTTTCCCAGCAATCGCAGTAGGCCGTTGGTGATGTTTTCTTCAATTTACAGTCATGACCACGATGACAAACACGAGCACACTCGGTGCAACAACAGAGTGAACCAGTCAGTCCGCACGTGCGACATTCGAAAATATCTTGATTGATATGATCAGCGCCTGTCCACGTGAAGGAACATGTGTCATTGCAGCATGTGACGAACAGAGGCGAAAGATCGGGACTTGCGTCGGCAGGTAAAATCATAGATGAACATTCCTTAGGATCTTTGCTGGCTCTTTGGATCGTGTCGAGAATTATTAAAGCTGCGTGATAAGCACGAACAGACACAGCGAGCATGAGTGGTGTCTGGCCTTGAGCATCTTTGCCAGTCAATAGTTCTTTGATGTGTGGAGCTAGTACTGGACTCTCGCACAAATATTTTAGAATTAACAGAGCATTGTTCCTGCGTTCAGTTGAGTCTGTGATATAACTGTTGTTTGTATTATTTGCATTATTGGGATTGTTGGTGTTGTTCGGACTGGAGCCAGTTGGCCCAGTATTTCCTACTGTTGCTTTGTTCATCATGGAAATACTCGCTGCACCAATACTCAAAAGGCTGTCCTCTTCTCCCGAAGTATTATCCAACTCTGGTGGCCAACTTAGTGGCGGTATTGGCTCCTCAATTGGAGTTGAATTACCATCGACTTGACAAGTTGTCACCAATTCTCTTGCCACACCTCCACTGCCACCCACACCACCTCCACCATTATTGGTTGTATCATTGTCCTTATTGGAGGAGGGTGAACACATGCTCACACAGGCAAGAAGGATGTTTCTATTTCCATCGCAGCGTTCTTGGAGGATCGCTTGAATTTGACTCTGGGTAGCATTATTTTTCTGCTGCTGTTCGTGTTCAAGATTTGTGAGAACTTGCTTCACTCCATCGTAATCGCATCGGAGAATCTTTGGCATAAGCAACAGATTGTCAAAGACCAATGCAATAACAGCTACTTGACTCTTCAGATTACTTGAATTACTTGGCATAGTTGAGCAACTGGGAATCGGAATGGTTGATGCACCGATGCACGTAACTGGTACGAGATCCAACCAATTTGGATCACGAATTGCATCAGCACAGTCCTTAGCAATTGGATAAATTGTGTTATTCCCATCACGCAAGAGCATTGAACAGTCGGAATTTTCACCTGCACTAGTTAAACTTATGTTTTGGGAATCAAGCCCCATGAATGAGGAAATTTCAGATGGTAAGTAGCAGTCTTGCACGTATCGTCCAGTGCTGAGATTATATACGACATAACTGAGCTTATTGTTACTGTTCTTTAGAATGGCATGGATTCCTTGGCCATCAGTGGAAACAGTTAGGAGACTCTCTGTCGTACCATCTGCAATGTTGACTCTTCGAGGTGTTCGTTGGAAGCAATCCGGAGCTCTGGAATTAACCGATGATTTAACAACTTGAAGCTCATCTTTTCTCAGTAATCGAAAATCATCGAGGAGTTTGATCAATTCTTCAGCAGTCAAATCCTTTATATCTGACGACACTGTATTGGTGTAATCCTTTTCTCTCAGTAGATCCTTATCCTTCTCCTTTCCTTCTCTCGAATCTTTTGCAAAGAATTTAACAGCAACATAGCACCCATCTACTTTGATGACTTTTCCAATGGGAACAGTTTTCACATCTTCAACGAAGACAACGTCCTTCAGGTGCCAATCCTCCTCATCTTTTCTCTCAGTTTCTGTATCATCATGAGTTCGTGGTGTCATTCGTTTCTGTCGTTTATGGCTACCCGGTGCTGAGGTAACGATACTTCCAGTGTCACTGCAGGTGCTCGAAGCTGGCGATGGTGGTGGTGGCATATCAAGTCTGTCGGCAGTCTCTTTGTAGTTTTTATTATTACTACTGGAGTTGGTGCTACAGTTGTTCTGATTAGGATTGTTAATGCTGCTAGTACCACTACCAGCAGCTGTATTAATTGTTGCAGTTGTAGTTGTCGTAGTAGCACCAGCATTGCTCGCTATATCTGAACGTTTTTCGATGTTTGATGGTATAGCTGGTAGGATTTTAAATCGACACGTCGAGTCTAAATTCCATGCTGCCGTCAAGAGTTGTCCAACTTTGGGTACACCATTGGCAATAGTGAAGCCAATAGCACCTGGCTGATAAATTGGACTATTCTTCATGCAAACGTATGTACCGTAGGTGATGTCAGCAGCGGCAGCAACTGCTGAAACAACACTCGATGATGATGATGACGATGGCCGATGTTTTCGGGATTTAGCTTTGTATTTTTCCCACAATTTTTTTCGCTGAGCGAATGGCAACACTCCCCACCAATATAATGTCCCACTCTCCAATTTGGCGACAGTATACAGTGCGCATGTGTGTAGAGATACTATTCTATCGAGTGTAAATTCAGTAAATGCTTGTGCTGGATGCTCCAAACGTGATGATACATGCCCAAGCAGTTCGTCCAACCATGTTGCAACTTTTCCACTCTCAGTGCTAACTGAACAACGTATCGCTGTTGCTGATATATTGACTATTTTTTCACCAGTCAGACCGAGGGATGCTGTCTTTGGATGATGAACATTTGGATTATCAAGATTCCTGTAGGGCTCAGAATCAGCCCATTTCCATTGATAGAGTTGGCCAGTTGATGATATTGCAATTAGTTCAGTGTAGAGTGCTGCAATTTGTACGAATTTTGGTGCTGGTTCACTGCTGCGTTCGTGCCACCACTCGAGTTCCTCTGAGATCCACAGTGGGCTCTGTGATGCTAGTTCCTTCTTCTTGTTCTCTGGATCTTTCTCCCAGCAATCCTTGAGAGCAGTTTCAAGCCATCTTCGTGGACCGTAGTACTGACGATCGCGCCATCTGCTGAAACTATCACGTTCACGATCACGCTCACCAGATCCCCTCTCGAGTGGACCATCACGTTCCACTCCGAGACGTCTCGATGAACTGCCACGACTTCTCATCACTCCGTAACCAAAAACGTCCTCTGAGAACATTGAATCAGCATCAATGATAACTGAATGCTCGTTACTGAAGCCACCATCCAACAGCGATATTAAATCCTCGGGTACGTAGCTGTCCGCTGCGTCTTCAGCATCGTCACCCTCCTCGTCATCACGTGATAATAAATTGTTTACCGCAAGATTAACATCGAGATTGGTGCGTTGCAATTCACGTATTATCAGATTACGACTTTTTCCCTGGAGCACAACTTGTGCCTGTGATATTAAATCCTCAGGAACGAAGGGGGCTGGTACTGACACAATTGGTCTTGAACTATTGCTACTACCACCACCACTGTTACCACCCCCCGTACTTGTACCACCTCCCATGATGACACCAGGTGGTCCGATTCTTCCACTTGAACCGCTACCACCAGCACTTCCACCACGTATTGCTGAACTGCTACGCATTATTCGCGCTCGTGATCGTGATAAACTTGTCCTGCTCCCGTTGCCACCACCTCCACTGCCACCACCACCGCCGCCTCCACCTCCTGAGCCACTTGGTCCGGAGCTTGAACTTCCAACGCCATGACCCTTTCCAGAACTGGAAATCCAAATTTTTTTTCTCATTTGAGAAATCCATTGATAAAAAACATTGAGAGTTATCGAAAGATTGTTTATTAGAGATAAGTTTTTATTCCAAGTCGATTACTACTGTTATCAATTTGAACATTACTGATATTTATATTTATTCTGTAATAAAAAAGCTTATGAAAGAAACTTTTATAGGGGAGAGTGGGCAAAATGAAACAGTCGAAAAATGACCGTTTGACGCAATGCAAGCAAAAAAAAATTTTTTTATTGAATGTTTTTTTATCAACTTTTTTTTATTATTGGGAGTATTGATGAGAATAATTATTTTCTATTCGTCTTATAACTCAGTTGATTATAATTCAAGTGGTTAGATGAGGCCAATTACACTTTTCTTTTTTTCATTGGATTGAAATTCAGCATCACATTTTCCTCTTTCTCCCTCTGGGTCTCCCCCTGGACCTTCCTCTGGACTTTGGATTTTGCTGTTTCATTTTGTTTTCGATTAATCCATTGACAAAATCTTCTCCCGTCAGAACTTCTGAATAATTTTTCATTCTACTGAATGAAAAATTATTATTCTCATTAGTACTCTCAAGAATAAAAAAAAGTTAATAAACAGAAGTTAATTAAAAAAAAAAATTTAACAAAAAAAAATTTTGTTCGCTTGAATTTAATAGCGAAGCGGTAAAGCGGGTCAAATCGATTTTAACTTTTGGTCAGTTTTTGATGAATATCTCGGAATCTGAGAGAGATAGCAAAATTTTTTTCATGACCTTTTTTGTAACGCTTAATTGGCTCTGCAAAAAGGGTCATGTCAAATTTTTTAAATCTCTTTTCGATTCCGAGATATTCGTCAAAAAACTGGCCAATAGTCAAAATCAACGTAACACGGTTTACCGCTTTGCTACTGAATTGCGCCAAACAGTCATTTTTCGACTGTTTCATTTTGCCCCACTCTCCCCTGCAAGAATTCTCTACAGTGAATTTCCGTATATGACAATGGAATCAGTAGTGAAGTGGTAAAACATAACAAATCAATTTATCCAAACTTGATAAATAATGCATTATCTCGATTATCTCAAAACAGCTTAACACTTTCCCACCGAAATAAGGCAACTACTAGGTGAAATCATTTTAGAAAAGCAAAAAATTCAAATATCCATTATAAGTGAACATGTCACGATTATTGAAAACAAAAGAACGAAAACAGTATATTTTTGCCACCAAACAATAGCTAAAATGATAAAAATAGGAGGGAAGGTGGGGCAAAATGGACACTTCTAATTTTTTTTTCCAATGTCCATAACTCAAAAAGAAGTTTGTCAATTGAGCTCAATCTGTAGTCATTACGAGGGGAAAGAATCGTACTTTCCACGGAAAAAAAATCAATTTTCATTAATAATTCAATGAGTTGGCAATTCAATCTCATTTGAAGAAATTTTGAAGTGCCCATTTTACCTCACTCGCCAATATAATTTTAAAATATCCATTTAGTAGAAAGTTCTCAATTAGGTACTTTAAAGTTTCACATATTTCGCAGATTGATGGAAATTAAGGATATTCAAGTACTTTGGCTATTTTTTCTCCAGAAAAATGTTTTTATACTTTTATAGTCGACTGTCAGAGCTTTCATTTAAGCCCCATTTGACCCTAAGCTTCTGGACATTTTACAATGATTTTATTAGTTAAACTTTGAAGGTCTGCATTTGAATCTCGATATTGAACCGTTAGAAAACATTTTAATAATCTGACGAAAAAATTTGAAAGTTTACGTTTAGAGGAAGATTGATGAAATAATTGAAAAATTGCAATTTTTTAAAATTATGAGCATTATCTATAAACAATTTATTAAGCAATCAATTCTCCACCATAAAAATAATTTTTTCGGAATTGTACTAAATTTATACATATTGAAAATTTTCTCAGAAATCTATTTTGTGCCTAAAAAAATTACGTTTCCGAAAATTTAAACAATTTCAATCATTCATCTATAAACAATTTGTAAAAAAAAAATAATTCTTTGCAAAATGTAATTGAATAACGCTGAAAATTCATGATTTTTTTCAAATGTTTCTCACCTAATTTAATTGACAAATTTGACGATTAAAAGTGGTTAAATCTATAGTATAGGGGAGGGTGAGGTAAAATGCACACTTTTGACGTTTTAAAAAATATTTATAACTCAGAAACAGATTTATCAATTGAGATCAGTTTAGGCTCCTCACAAAAGGAAATAATTGTTTTTTTCCTTGACAAAAAAATATTCCATTTCATAAACAATTAAACCTGTCATTGATATTAAAAAAAAGAGTCAAATGTGTCCATTTTACCCCACCTTCCCCTAGTCTCTACCAAACAGTAAACGACACTTGGATATCGCGTGTCTGAAAGCAAAAGGTCGTAAACGCCAAAAAGCTACTTTCCGAGTTTCTTAAAGCCAGAAGGTCATATCTCCACTCATTTTTTCTACAATTCTGCGTGAAAATACTGGAGAAACTTATTATAATACCTAAATTTTCAGATTAATGTTGAGCTGCATATACGACCTTTTGCCTTTAACTTATATCCCCAGAAATGAAAAATTCCTTAAAAGCAAAAGGTCTTAATGACAATTTTTAATTTTTTTTTTACCATGTACGACCTTTTGCCTTTAATTTCTGTCCTCAGAAATGGAGACTGAGCTAAAAGCAAAAGGTCGTAAAGACAAAATTTGGGATTTTTTAGTTTCCAATGCCGTGGACAAGTTATACCTTTAATATTCCAGTTGATGTCACATGAAGTTATCGGTGTCTTTGATTATGGTCAAATAATTATATCGGCAACTTAATAACATCATTTGTGAGAATAGCGTATCTCCATTTTTAGTCCAGATTCGTCTATTTCGGAACATTGTAAAAACTCTCAAAATGTTTGTATTTTCTAAACATTTTTGGTGCACTAATCACCCCTTGTATAACTCTTTCAAGATACGCTTGTGTATTACGTATTTGTAACAGAAGAACGCATCTCTAAAAAAAATCGAAATTAGGGAACTGAAGCGATCTTCATTGTTAAGGGTCCAACAGAGCAGTGATCGGAAGAATCCCGTGTACTCTCGAGGGTTAAATGGGAGAGGCAGGTACAGCACAGAGAAACAAAAGTGGATTAACATTAGAAACTAGTTTCTCGATTTTCGAAACTCCAATTCTTAAGCTTTATCCTTGATGGGATCAAAAAAACTAACGATTTTGAGAATTGTTTTTAAGAACAAAAATTTTCTAAAACCAATGCTGAATTTTTTTTAATTTTAGAAAATTTTCAGATTGAACTCAAAAATTGCGGCCGAGGTATTTAAAGGGCGTAAGTGCCCCATATATAGGGAGGGGTGCCCAAATATCGGGAATTTCAGATGTGCGGAGAGGGCTTTTTGCGAAGAGGGGGAGGGGGAGTTCTAAATTTAGAATTCACAACCAAAAAAATTGAGTCGGTGAGGTTTTCAAAAATATCTCCAAAACTAAGGGAGATAGCGAGTTCTTACTGGAAATTTGGGGGTGAGAGGTGTGCATTGAGAATTCACAATCAAAAAAATAGAATCGGTGAGTTTTTCAAAGATATTTCCGAAACTAAGAGATAGCGAATTTTTACTGAAAAATTGCGGAAGGGTGAGGGTTGTATATCGAGAATTCAATAAAACCTCCCTCTTCCCCAAATTTTCAGTAAAAATTCACTATCTCCCTTAGTTTTGGAGATATTTTTAAAAAAGTCGCGGACTCATTTTTTCTGGTTGTGAATTCTCAATGCACCATACCCCCCTGCCACCATCTCGCCTCCCGAAAATTTTCGCTACCTCCCTTAGTTTCGGAGATATTTTGGAAAAACTCACCGACTCTTGTTTNTCCCTGCCACCATCTCGCCTTCCGAAAATTTTCGCTACCTCCCTTAGTTTCGGAGATATTTTGGAAAAACTCACCGACTCTTGTTTTTGGTTATCAGTTCTCAATTCACAACCCCTCCTCCCCCTCTCTGCAAAATGCTCCCTCCAAAAATGAAAGAAATTCTCTAGATTTTAGAAAATATTTTTTTCTAAACCAAGTCTATTTAGTAACGGAGCTAGAAAAAAATCGTTTAAAATTAATAATCAAAATGGGGATTAATTTTAAACTATTTTTTTCTAAAACTTAGAGAAAAGTTCTAGATTTTAGAAAAATGAAGGTTAGAAACCGCAGTTTCTAAAATTTAGAAACATTTTTCTAAAGCCAATCCACGTTTTCTATCTGTGTATTCTGAACCATGTTTCGAGGGAATTTGAAACTTCTTCAGATTATGATAATTAACAATCGTGAATTCATGGGCGCATGATCATTCGACGCATAAAGGAATTATATTCCTCATCCTCTCAATGACTAGGAGGATATTCTAATTTCTGTAATGAGAAATGAGTAAAATTGGAGGAAACTTTTTCACAAAGATGGAAATATCAAACTGCAAACAAAATATAAAATTGGATATACGATCTTTTCGATTTAGGTGAGACATTTTTCTAACTTCATCAAAAGTAAAAGGTCGTTTCTGCACTGATAACTAAACTCGAGATATTTTAATTTTTTGGGTTCACTTTGATCGGTTTCCTAAAAGTAAAAGGTCGTATATGCTGGCGGATACGACCTTTTGTCGGAAAAGGCAATTTTTGGCATATATGACTTTTTGCTTTTAAACACGCGATATCCTTAATGAATTATTTAATTCCAGAGAAACTTACTTTCTGTTGGGTTCATTTTTACTAAGATCTAGACGATCTGATAGAACGGTGTACGCAACACGACAGATTCTATTGTCGTCCATCAGTAGTGCTATATGAGATGGTCCAACCACAATACGTCTAACGGATGATTTGAGTCCGCTAAACGCTGGTGGTGTAACATAGCCATATCTGTTGATTTTATCCGCCACTTCTTTGAGTCTGGAAAATAATTCACTGAATTAATATTCTGATTACTACTGAACTTCGATACACTACGTATTGACAATAATTAAAGACGCAAAACCATGTGCATCGTTATATCAACTCATATATAGGGTAAACAGGCCAATTGCTGGACGCTTAAGGAAAATTCGAGATTCGTGGTAGGATCTAAAATAAAGGAATCCCCTAAATGGGGATATGATGGTTTCCATACCTTCAAGAATGTTTCCATTAGCAGAAAAAAATTATTTGAAGTGAAAATAATAAAACAAAGAATAATTAAATTAAGAAATAGCTGAATTCAGCTGAAACCCCTAATTTCTGGACGACTTATTATACACGAGTAATATTATTGAAAAGTGAAATAGTACAATTTTCATTTTATTTATGCAATATTCAATGCAAGTTGAAATCGTCCAGAAACTAATCCCCGATCACAAATTGGCCTGTTTACCCTAGGTGTTATAACCAAGCCCTCATGGTTTCATCCACGACACCTATATATACGGCCATCCACGAGAGAGCCAGTTTCACAAGTTGGAGCACTGTATAACTCAACAATTCCGAGGGCATGTCGTACATTTCGAGTCAAAAGAAATGTTATTGGAAATCAAAGGAGAGTTGTCAATGGGAAAACGTGAATATTTCAGAAACTAGAAGCTATAGAGTGAATCCTCTCCTTGTGCACGCCTATATATACCTCGAAGAAAATGCACACCATATATGTCTATGTAAATGTGAGACAAGTCACATACATACTACATATAATATATAATGTACAATAATACTATGTACATGTACGTATTATGAAATAAAAAATCCATGCAATTTACAATGAAATTGATAATGAGCATGATGGACCATGAAACGATACAGGAATATCCAATGCTCTACCCAGAGCTTTAATTATTCACAAAACTCCCGAGATATGATAATTCAGGAAAATAGGTGGAAAAAGAACATGAGGTTCACCGCATGAACATGAGTGAACAGTGAATGAACAATATAGGGGTCATCTAATCAGCCCTGGATAGCTGAAAAGTAACTAATGACGAAAACGAAAGTAATTGTAAATGTAGTGATGCAATTGATGATAGGAATTAATGTTATTATCATGTGTCTAATAAAAAAAAATGCTCCATGGTGGATGGAATAAAAATACGAAAATGATGATCGAAATTCGCAGATATAATATAAAATCAAAGGGTGGATGGTAGTTACCGTTGAGCATTTGTGAAATACTGGGGAAATGAGAGATAGTCGTAGGCATGCATCTCGAAGCAATCAGAAATATGTTCATTGAGTCACGAAAAAAAAAAACGGGGATGCTCACATCGTTGCGCCCGTGATACTCAACGATTAGAGGAGCCATATTCTATTGTGTGCTAAAATATCTTACCTATCATTGAGCTGATCGTCAGTGCCTGGCAGCGGATGCACGACAAAATGTATCGAGCTCATTTCAAAACACTTGATCAACTGTAATATTAATAAATTTTTATAATTTAATCAACCCTTACGCAAAATTTCATTACAACATCGAACTGATACTCAGTCATGTTTCACGAGAACTATCTAGTTTTGCGTTCTGAAGTGCCAAAAATGGCGGATATTCATCGTCATTTATAAACGTGCGTTCCTAAACTCAATCGATTGTGCGCATGCGTGCTTTATTAACACACCAGCCAATTATCAGGTCTACCAACATCTATTTTTCGAAAATTATGTATGCAGCAGGCTCTATACGATGGACTACAGATGATGTGATTATATTTTCATTCGTTTGTGTAAACATTTTTTGATGTAGAAATAGGGAAATTCCCACCTATCTTGCTATTCGGATCCAATTTTCAAGAAGACGGATATGGTGAGCGAAACTTGAATAAACAAAAAAAAAAAACACTAAATATATATTTTGTGAAGCGGCAAGCTTCAGAGGGGACATCAAGAGATGGCGTGGATGATTTATTGATGATTCCCGCCTGACAGTTAAAATTTTGTCAGGTGCTTTTTCAGATGAAAAAAGCGTAATTAATTTTTCAAGAAAAATTAACGTTATCATTTGTGTGAACAGAGTGGAGGTGAAACTGTTTTCGTAAGATTCTGTTTGAGAAATAATAATTTTTGTTGAAATCGTCTCTAGTAGATTAGAAATTCAATAGACCTTTCTGGAAATCTAGGGGAAATATTTATTCCCTTCATCAAACTAAAAATCTTCAAAAAAAAAAAGACAAATTCGGATAAATATTTACGTTTAAGATTGATAGATTTTTGAGCCCTCAAAAATGATGATTGATAGGGAAGAGTGGGGTAAAACGACTCCTTTTGATTTTTTTCAAAAATGTTAACAGCTCATTCAATTTCAAATAAAATGAAATAATTTTTTTTCGATGGAAACTACACTTCTTCTCCTTTAGAATAAGCCTAGACTGATCTCAATTAAAGAATTTGTTTTTGAGTTATGAGTATCACAAAAAAGTCAAAAGGAGTCGTTTTACCCCACTCTCCCTTATGTAAATTCGGTGAAAATGTCCGAAACTTCTGAGGAAATCAACTGGAAACCTATCCGAAAATCGGGTGACTCTTAGGATCTTCAAATCAACTTGAAGACAGAAAAGGGGTGACAGGAGAGATTATTTTTAATGAAAAATGTGCACAATTGATTTTTCACGTGATTAATGAACATTTTGATATAAATTTCATGACCCCAGGGGAGCGATTTTGCTCGTTTTATGTCGACATAAAATCGTAAATTTCAACCGATGACAGTCCTGAATTCGGAATACTCAACTAGGACTGGTTGAAATTTATGATTTTAGGTCGACATAAAACGAGCAAAATTTCTCCCCAGGCTTCGATTTTTTCGCTAAACAAACAAAAATACTGTTGAAACCTAGGTTCAGTTAAATATTGAACTGGTTTTTCTTTTCCGAGTTTTCGACGATTGTCATTGGAATTAAATGTTTTTTCATCACGCTGTGACGAAAAGTGAACTTTTCGGCACGCTCCGCGTGCCTAAAAGTCCGATTTCCGCCACATTGTGATGAAAAATATTGTTCGTAACTCGTAAAATAGTATATTTCGTAACGAGTGCAAAAAAGTGTTTTATGGCGAGTGGGTGTTTTATATCACTCGCCTTCGGCTCGTGATATAATCCCACGAGCTAAAAAACATTTTTTCACGAGTTACGAACTATTATATTTCGTAACGAGTGCAAAATAGTATATTTCAGCACGTGTGGGGCAATTTCGTCTTTAACGTGTGTAGGGTTTACAGCATGAGCCGAAGGCGAGTGATGTAACCCACACACGTTAAGGACGAAATTTCCCAACAAGTACTGAACAAAATTTTATGTCACGAAGCCTGAAACCAGCTGAATTAGACACGAGTCGCGAAGCGTCGAGTGTGTAATCCAGGCGGTTTCAGGCATGAGTGGCATAAAAGTGTTTTTTGGCGAGTGGGAAGTTTATATCGCGAGCCGAAGGCGAGTGATATAATCCCACGAGCTAAAAAACATTTTTTCACGAGTTACGAACAATATTTTTCATCACAATGTGGCGGAAAT